CACACACACACACACACACACACACACACACACACACACACACACACACACACACACACACAGAGTGTCACAGGCGACATGTCTCTGCCACGCTGCGGCTCACAAAACAGGAGGCTGCACGGAGAGCGGTGCTTAGCCGAGCCCCCCTACCCCCCAGGATTGGACATCCACCGAGTCTGCTGCAGCCAGGTAACTACTTGTTGGGCAATTTTCAAGAGGACACTAATGAGGCTGGACATCTGAGCATCTGAGTCACAGTGACAAATCATTAGGACTTTAATGATTCTCCATTCATATTAGTGCCTTTCATTTTGAGATAGTGAATAGAATTAGCTTCCTGATAATAACCTCACCTTTGAGTTGACAGCGATAAGTGTGTCCGTGTGTGTGAAGCCAAACGCGTGTCCCCTTTCGGTGGCGTAATGACAGTTAAATCATTGAAATATGAGTGGCTTTGGGATAAAAAAAATAAATAAAAAAACAGGCCCTATAAATGAGTTTATTACCAGAAGACAATTTACTTGCAAATGCCTAGCATGTGCTTTTGGCACTTGTGATTAGAGGCTAAGGGTGTGGGGGAAAATGGGAGCGGAGAACAGTTGGAGCGGCGGCTGATTAATGTAAATCTTATCTGAAACAGAAGGCGCTTCATTCCCGTCTTTGGCAAACAAACAATTACAGTATACAAATAAACCGCCTGAAGCTCTATTGTCTGAACTCCATGATTGCCATTTGCAGATCAAATCCTTCTTACCTTTTGGGTTGCCCGTGTTGGATTTGGCAACGCAGATGTTTTGATTGGGTGTGGTCAGCACATTCTTGTTGGGGTTGGCGTTTTTCTTATTGGGCATGGGGGTGCGGGGGGGCGGATGTACAAAATGATCGTCTCTTTTCTCGCCGGCACTGTTCTCCTTGTTCTCACTGGTGTGTTCGTGGTCTTTCTCCCTCTTCTCCTGGCGCTGGGGCGTCGTCCTCCTCCCCCTCTCTTCCATCGGGCTCTGACCATATCGTTTCTCCACTGGTGGAGACATCACCCACTTCAGAAATACAAAGAGAGCAGATACAAATAGTTGGTATGGGTATAGTTCACAGGAAGAGTCTAGGTGGATATCTTAACGCATTTTGGGGCATGTCTAATGGTGACCTTAGTTCAGGCACTCCGAAACACCTAATCGCACATCTGATAAGAGTATGGCCATTTATTTTCCAAGCAGCAGGAGCCACATTTCCCCTATTTTTACTCTCCTGCATGTTGCACACTCATGAGTCAATCCCTGAAAACCAGTATCAGACTCATACTGAAAACCGCCACTTTTTAAGCTCTGTTACACCGCTTTTCTATGATAGCTGATTTGTTTGTCTGCCATCTAGCATCATCAAACATGACATTTTGAACTAATCATAGCTTTTGTCAGAAGCTACTCCTTCATATGTTAAAGAGGCAAAAACTTCCACATACAGCGTCTTTGTTTGCTCTCCCGTCCGGCCGACCCCTCACTCGCTGTGGCGTGTGCTGTTGGACTGACACCCAAGGGCAGTCGTCGATGTATTCTGAGCAAAAGTCCAAAGAACCAACAATCACAGCGTCTTCATCCTCACTGAAGTGGAGGGCTTCTCTGGTCTGACAACCAAAAATAGAAAAGAAACACACGTTCACACGAGAAGCGACAGAGAATCCAGCTGTGGGCAGTCTTAGAAGAGCAGAGCGCCACAGAAGACGTGGTCCAGTTCTGACCTGCAGTCCCTGGTGCAGAGGAGAGACCTCGCAGAGGGGGGGTTCAGGGCGCAGACGAACAGGTTTCCCCCTCTGCTTCTTTGACAGCAGCAGCAGGTAGGTGACGGTGGTCTGGTCGTACCTCCACTGAGGAAAGCCAAAATCTATTGTTCTGGATATCTAACAGACCTTTGTAATTCGCCCATATTTACAAAACAACACACAATAATACATAAACCATAGCAAAACTGGAAAAAAGCCACAGAGACATTGCTAAGAGTAGGCACACACCTCCTTCACCAGTGCCGTGGTGCTCTCCCTCGACCTCTTCATGTTGACTGCCATTTCAGTGATGCAGTCTTCATCAATGTGGCCAATCTACAAAGAAAAAGAAAGACAAGCTTAAGCAAGATCCCTAAAGATAAAGAACTCAGAGTTATGGTTTTATGACGTACAAGTATTTATAAGGAAATCCTAACCAGCGATGAAGACACAAGTCTTGTTATAAACTGTCTTGATATTAAGTGACATGTTTGTAATCCTGCTGTTCTGTTTATACAGTTATGCGTGCTGTGTCTGTACCGGCTGCCTGCTGTACCACTCCACAGGGCTGTTGTAGTCCTTCATCACCCAGGGATGGTCCAACAGCTGTCTGACAGTCACACGCCGCTTGGGTTCCACCTATGGGACACACGCAGAAACTGCACCTCAACTTGGAAGCTGCCACACTTGGTGATTCTGATGTACATTCTGATGTCAGAAATAACTCACAGCATTCATTTAGGTTTAAAAAAATTTTTTTTAGATGAATGGGAAATTTTACAGAAACCTATTATTGTTATGTGACAGGAGCTGAGGTTATTTCAACGCGAGGACTGCTATAACTAACTTTTGGTGACATTATTTATCAAGAAAGCTGTAAAAAAAAAAAAAAAAAAAAAAGACTAGCATAGTGATAGAGCAAACCCAGTGACTGAATACACACCTGCATCATCTGGTTGAGAAGGAGGACACTACCTGTAGAAAGCCATCGTGGGTTATCATATCTCCCTCTCTGGGGAAAAAAAAAGAAAAAAACTCAAGATATTCAGAATAGAAACACAAAACAGAAAATAACGTTTGGGTCAGTTGGAGGTATTCAATCTATGAACTTGACTGGAAATTCACGGATTTCACTAAATAAAATAGTTACAAACATAACAGTGTTCGTACTGTAATCTTCTTGTAGAGGATCATGCAGTTGTCATCATCAAAGGGCAGGTATCCACAGAGCAGAGCGAACAGCAACACTCCCATACTCCACACGTCAGCCTGGAGGGTATACATCACACAGCAAAGCCTCGCCATCAGCTCTTACAGATAGGATTTCACAGTTCACTCGCACCGAGTCATGCACCAGCGAACATGATCAGGACGCCATGAAAGCCTCCACATGTGGAACAGGCAGGTGATAATCATTCATACTGAGGGGAAATCATCTCACAATCATTGTTTGTAATGTAAATTCTATACATACCTCTGAACCAATGTATGATTTTCCCTGGATGAGCTCAGGAGCGGCATACGCAGGGCTCCCACAGCACGTCATCAGTTCATAACTCAACCCTCCCTTTGACACAAGCAAAAACAGGAGGTTATTAGAAGAACTGTTTAGGGGGGGTTCATTTTAAATGTCAAACATGATAAGATTTTACACTTTCCATTCATTGAACTGAATTTGCATTATTGATCCACACACGGAGGAAAAGGCAATTTCATACCTTAGGTTTGGCACATAAGCCGAAGTCTATAAGCTTCAAGTTGTGGTCCTCGTCAATCAATAAGTTTTCCTGAGGCCCAGATTAAACCGAAAGAAAAGTTTCAGTAGATGTAAAACTGTTCTAGTCTATTACAGAAATGGAGTGAAATCAGTGGCTTTTTTTGTTTTTGTACCGGTTTTAGGTCCCTGTGTGCATATCCTTGGCTGTGGACGTAGGCCATTGCAGACACTATCTGCCTGAAAAAAACCCTGGTTTCTTGCTCTGAGAGTCGGTCTTTTGCAATAATATAATCGAACAACTCCCCACCAGGGCAATACTGAGAGAGGGGAAAAAATATGAAAGAACCACATTTTATTTTCAACAAAAGCATTAATTCTCAAACACTTTGTGCCCTTTGCACGCCTTTACCTCAAGCACCATGAATATCTGCGTGGAGGTCTCTATGACATGGTACAGTCGGCAGATGTGTTGATGGCTCAAATTTTTCATGGCCTCAATCTCTACCTTTACACGAGGCAAATCATCCTGTGGAGACATTTTTTTTCAGGTATACACCATCAACTTTACAACTGTTCTTTATGCCAAGTTCAGCTTTTTTGAAAAAGCGCATATTAACAGTTGCTTAATTCAATGGCTAATTCTGTTCTTAATCTTAATGCAGAAAGCCTTTTCTATTTCTCAAGAACTTTGATAGTATAACCACACCCAACACACTTTAAAAATTAAAGAAAGAAGAGAGATGAGAGGTCATTTTTCTGCAATCGTTTCAAGTATTGAAGTCGTTCATGTTTTGAGGCAGGCACTGATCAAGTATTTTTTTCTTTGCAGTTACCATATTGCTTTTTGTAATCTCCTAAATACTTAAATGAAGAAACAAACTACTAATAGCATGCAGCAAAAAAAAAAACAACCTACGAAATATAACTAAGAAAGCTGTCCTGGTGAATGGAGTCACTTGTGACTCAAAAAAGACTATAAGACATTAAGCCATTAAGCATCTAAAATTGTTCTGCAACACATATTTATTGTGGCTTCATGGCAAGCTTAGATTTTTTTGTGTGTGTTTAACTGTTTTCTCTGACAGGAAAGAGCTCTGGTGAGACTCACCCCAAGATCCTTCTTATTCATGATTTTAATGGCAACCTTCTCTCCCGTCAATAGGTGTCGACCCAGCTTGACTTTAGCAAAGCCACCTTTGAAACAGACAGGTTTCGTGACACACATCGGAAAACAGATGACATCGGTTTCGCACACAACATCCCCCTTGACATAAATGTTACCTGAGCCGATGGTCTCGTAGAGCTCATAATATTTGTGGAGCTCTGCGGCTCCGCGGTGCTCCGTTCTTTCCACAGGCATTCTCCGTCCACCAGCCACCCGACGACAAACCCTCCTGCCAGAGCACACACGGTTCTAACGTCGAGGAAACAAACTCAGCTGATAAACTTAGACGGAAACAAATGCTATCGTGTTCCAACATTTTCAAACATACTGACTTTTCTTGGTTTTGTTTTGTTGTCGTTTGTTTTGGCTAGCTAACTTGACGCTAACTGCGGCGTCACAGTAGTCGATAAATATATACATTTATACGTCACCACTAACCAAAAAAATGTAAGAAAATAATGTTCAAGGTAAATTAGAAACGCTTCTTCTCTGGACGAATTTACCTGTTTTCCCGAAAAACCGACGAAGACCGGTAAGTCAGTTGACAACCATGTATGTAAAAACCCTCAAACGAGGATGTTTTGTTCCAGAAGTTTGAATTTCGCACGTTGACGTTGACGACGTTTCCTGCTTCCGGTTTGGGCTTTTTCCTCGCCCGTATGGCGACTAGCGGTACTGCAGCAATATTTCAACCTGCAAGGTTGATAAATAACTTCCGACACAATTTAAGGGATTATTAGAGCTGAATTTGGAATATGTAAATGATTAAATCCTTGGTGTAGGCATAGATGGTCAGTTTTTACCAGCCAAATGAGATTTCATACAACCAGAGGAGATATTAACAGCAATGGTAAACAGCAATGGTTTACCAATGGTAAAGAAAGAGTTTCAGCATATGAATGCTTTTCTGAAAAAACAGAAAAAACTACCCGCCCACAGCACACAAAAAAAAAGCCATAGTACGACCAGATTTCCCGTTAAACAAAATAGCATAGAATGACTCATTAACATGTTTGAAAGCTGACATTCTTTGGAAATGGACTAAAACAGCACCACACAGTATGTTCCCTTAAATTGGCATATCTTTTTTCTTTATACACCAGTCCTTTGTAGGGTTACAGGGCACGGGAGCTCACACTGGACAAAATGCACATGGAAAAGCCATTGTTTGAGAAGCATCGTGTTTGCTACAAATGTAAAATTGCACTGTTTGACACAGTTGGTATGCGGTTGAAGTAAGTAACCAGAAAAAATGTATTTATGGTGTCAAGAGGTGTGTGCATCTTCAGCTGCACTTATTTCAACTCTATAATTTGGTAAAGGTGAGAGGTCAACTGACAGACTGGTGAAGCCTTTTTGTTTTACAGATCCCTGCTCTTTAAACAGCCACTGTCAGAGTTGTCTTCATGTGCACAAATGCAAGAAAATACTGGATTTCTGTTAACTAGTTTCCTATACTGATCACACTGAAAGGGATTATCAAACTCTTTAACCAGGTGAAGATATAATATCTTGATTGTGAACAGGGACCGGAGGTCACAAATGGATTTTTGTGCCTAATCTTGGTTGCCATGTGCATTTCATGGTTATTTGGGAGGGAATTGGTTGTTCAGAAAGAAACCGGTGTTTAGTGGATATCCAGGTGTCAGCAGGATGACAAAACCTCTCATTTGGTTTCAGGGGCAGATGGCCAGGATGGGACAGAGGGACATCAAACAACCTACAGCTGGAAAAAAAAAAGAGCGGAAAGAGAATGTGAGGAAAGAGAAGGATTGAATTGGTGTGTAGAGGAGAAAGGGAGAGAACTGGAAAAGAGAAAATGGAGACAAGAGAGAGAGCCACAGTACTTTCACAAGTCAATGTTGACTAAAATACCTGCTTTTTTGTCGTCATTCTTACAGCCCTCTTAACATTTTGTGTTGTGTTGCTTTTGCTTTTTTATGTGGTAAGTCCCTCTTGCAAAGGACACACAGAACTACTTAAATCAGAGGTCAGCACAAACATAAATACACTAAATATGTAAATGTGACCAATTTTCTAAAAGGCAGTGCAACAATAATAGCTTTACTTTTACTGACCTGAGGGTCAGGGATGTTTTATTTCCATTTATTTAGCATCAGCACATAGTTTTACCGCAAACATTACTGTATGCATTTGATGTACTGTAACACGTTGGGTGTCCCATGTCGGCGTCCTTGCACCACATGAATTTGAAATGTCAATATTAATGAGATTCAGTCAGAAAATCCTGTTACAGTAAATGGTTTCGGCAGACAGGCTATCTGCTGTCTGACCAAGCCTCTTTCCTTTGATGCAGCAGTCAAAATGTGGCCATACTGTGTCTGCTGTTAGTCTATAAAGTAATCTCTGCATTCTTAATAACAGAAAAAAAGAAAACCATATCTGTGGACAGACAGTAGAGTACAAACATGACTATTTCTCATTTTGCTGTAAGTATGAGTTGTCTTATAGAGCACAGCAGCAGTTAGATAGATTTTATACTTTATGAAGGCCCTATTTCATCTGTATCTTTTACATGTTGTATGTTGCCCTGCTATAATGTTTGAGCTGAGCCATTTTAGAGCTGATGTGCCATTTGCATCTGCAGGGAGTGTGCCTGTCTACTATTAAGCTGTCACAGTGGAAGACAGACACCGGCGTTGGACAGAATTCCCAGTATTTCCTGGCAGACTTTGGAGGCTCCCAGAATACATGTATATTAACTCCTTCTCTACACAGTCTTCACTGCAGGGGATTGGCAACTTGGATCTGTCTGGGTTTATGAAACAAGGGGTAAATATTGTGTTTAGATGCTTCTCTTGTGACGGCTGAGTATGACTTCATATTTTTTTGTGTTGCAGGACAACAGTGTCGACATATCTCACAGATAAAAGTACATCAACTGAACAGAGAGGCATTAAGATAGAAAATAATCCCTTTTACAGCACCACATTGGGAATTTTGTTTCAGTAATGTTTTTTTTCTTTTCTTTTTTTTACATCTGATTGACCTTTTATTGTAGCTTTGTATCTACACATGTGTCCTCTATACCATTATATTTTCCAAAGTCTCACATTTTCAGCAGTGCTCTGTCTGCCTCTGTTAATGAATAAAAACTGCATTATCTTCTCTCCATCTCATGAAAGGTCTGCATGTCTGCAGTCAAAGTAATGCATTTACTACTTTCATCTCTCCTCGCTCCACCAAACATAAAACGGCAGGGGGTGAAACAACAACTCATAGCAGCCATAATTAAACTCCCCATGTCTGTCATGCAAAATATTTCAGATACAAATTCTCTAAACTGAGACCATGGGAATTTGTCCCCCCACCCCCGTCTTTTTAAAGGTATTATGTCCTTTTCAAAGATTTACCATAATGCCTAACCTCACTGTTTCCAAAATGGTAAGGAGGTGAACAGATTACCCAGTAAATGTCCATTGTTTCACTGGGAATCACTAATGAGTGGAATCTGAATCACCAGAGGAAAATAGCATTGTATTTCTTTTTAGGTCACAGCATACTTACAGAGAAAGTAATTAGCTGTGTGTGAAGAAATTCAACACATTTTTCCACAGTGGTAGTTTTTAGTTTATCCCTATCTTTGAAACGGCAGAGGGAGAAGCTGAATTAAAAGAATATTAGTTTTGGGTAGACTTCAGGACACACGGCAGGATGCCTGTTCACATGCTACAAACACTCAGGCAAAAGCTATACATTTTAAGACTTTTTGTCATTGTGGGTATCCTAACTCATATTATGACTCTAACCTTGAAAAGGGCTAAAAAAATGCAGTTTAATTGAATGAAAACCAAGCTTTGAAAAAAAAAGTCAACGTGTGTCTGAAGTGATTGCAGAAATACACACTCAGAAGGTAACCATTTTGCTTACCATCGGACCCCAACTTAGTCCCTTTTCCCTCCCACCCCTCAGGCCATCCCCACCCCACAAAGGCACACTCTCCATTAAACATGTGTGCATGTGTGTGTGATCGTCCTCTTTACTCAGCCTCCACTCTCTCCATGGCTGGATTGTGGCAGCAGCTCTGCTCTCCATGGCAGATTCAAGCCTTGTTCCTCATCCACCTTCTTTGCCTTCTACCTTCAAACTCAGGCGCTCTTCACTCAGAGACTAAAACAAGCTCATGCCCTCTGGAGGTAAGTCATCACTATAATTTTGGGATGAGAGCAGAGGTTTTGTGTTCTTTTATGCAAAAAAAAGTAGCCGTGAAAGCCACACATTATTACGTAATTCTGTTATTTGAGCAGAATGAACAATTTGACTGTTTTCCATAAGTTAAGATTGATTATAGACATACCAGGTGGATGATAGAAAAATAAGACCCAGCAATTACACCACCAAAAGTTATGCCTTCAAAGCTTAAAAAAATTCAAGAGTAAGACATTTTCTTTCCTTGTATTAGACCCATTTATGGCTCAAAAACGAGCAAATGTGTTCTTTGGCAGGGGTTTACCGTGGTAAAAGGGAGCTACTCTCAGACCTTTCTTCGCGTTGGCTACCACAAGATTGCAGAGATTCCTGCAGGAGCGTGTAACCTCAGCATCCAGGAGACGAGGAAGAGTAGAAACTATCTGGGTATGCACACACACAAACGCACTCGGCAGAAGTAGTCGCAAAGTGACAACAACCACAATCATGGACGTGTTTGTGGAAATTTCCAGCTCTGCAGAGTAAAAGTGGCATCTCCATCATAAATGGAAACTGGGTGATTGACAGGCCTGGCACCTACATTGCTCTGGGAACACAGCTGATATATCGACGGCCGAATGAGATTCGCTCAAGAAATGGCGAGTCCATCACTGTTCAGGGGCCGCTGGCTGAGGACGTCCATCTTTATGTGAGATAAGAAGTTACACATCGTGTCGGTACCGCTGAGGTCTCTTTCTCATGTCGTTTATAGCATGTTTAGATGGACTTTTTTCTTCCATCTACAGTTGATCTACCAACAACCAAGTCCAAGTGTGAACTATAGGTACAATGTACCTTTAAAAACGCACCCCACAGCTAATCCAGAGGCGCCTTCTGATATTCTGCTGCTGGGTGAGTGCAAGCATGACATATTCTTTTGTGACAAACACAAAACAGCAAAAATGTCATTGCTTGGTGTTTAATATTCAGACGAATCCTCAGTATGAATGCTTGTTCAGATCTGACTGTCCTCATTTGATATGACATAATCTGCCCTTTTTAAAAAAGTTGTTATTTCACATAGTGTAAATTCATAGATACTGAGTAAATTATCAATTATATGAGCCCTGCTTTTTTTTTTATTCACAAAATTGATTAAAATGGTGTGCAAGAAATAGTAACTAATTGCTTAATCAGAGTTGTCATGCATTCAATCCAATCAAAATTTAAATTGTATTCATGATTTTGACTACTACCATCTTATTGAAAAGAAAAGCAAAGATACCATCAGTTGGTGCAAGACTGCCAGTTTAAAAAAGTCAGTCTAATAAAAAAAACATTTCATGCATTTGCAGAATTCTGTGGTTGACTTTTAGCATGTATCATAATTATTTTGCATGCTAATGAAGTAGCAAGGAGCATCAAAACCTGTTTAAAAAACTTGTTTTTGATGATTAAAGAGAGCACGTACATACTAAGACAGTGCTGAAGTCACAACTATCAGTCTTAGTTGGTAAGGGTTTTTTAAAAGATGTTTTTCTTTTTCTATTCATACTGTTTTGAGTAATGTTCTACGCAATAATCCCTCATTTTGTCCATTGCAACCACAGCTGAGGCTGTGGGTCCTTCCCAATTAGATGTTCGGGTGGATGGAGATGATGTGAGCAACAACCACATCATCAAGGAGACATCCCTGACCAAACAGGCTTCCTCTGATCCCAGTGTTCACTCTGACCCTCAGAGCTCCTACATTTGGGCGAGGATTGGGCACACAGAGTGCAGCACGACCTGCGGCACTGGTGAGGAAGCAAGCGGTTTGTAACTCAGGAAATGGACAGACACGCATTTGTTCTTGTCCATTTCAGTCCGGATCCGATATCAGCAATAGTTGGTTGGCTTTGGGTGATGGGATGATAATACGAACAGTTCTTGCTGATTGCAAACAAAAAAAAGGAACTCTAAATTACACTGAAGTCTTTTTTATTCGTTACCTTTTTGAAAGTCAGCATGCTCTCATTTCTTTATTCTCTGTTATCACACGTATGCTTGTTTTGTTTTGTTATTTCTATTTTTTTGTATGCTCTCAACAGGAAAGTACCATGCCCTGTGGAAGTGCGTTGACCGGGAGTCGAAGATGACTGTCCCCGCAGATCTTTGTGACCCTGCCACTGGGCCCACAAACCGGCAAGAGGACTGCCACAAACAGCCCTGTCCTGTATAGTGAGCGACCCACGTACAAAAGCACACACCTTGTCCACATCAGCGGCAGGTTAAAAATGCTCATGGGGCTATACCCTAGATCCGCAATTGCATACTCCAGCCAGAAGAGGGCAACGTTTGTCAAGGCAAAAAAAAAAAAGGAAGATCATCAGATCTGATTAAGTTCAGTTTAATTAATACCACGCTGTCATATATATCAATTAATCTTTTATCAGTGAGGAAAGGCAAATAATATCGCTACAGGGTGTAAAAAACAGATATCTTTTGTTTTTATCTGGATCTAATTACTCCCAGCTCTACTTGCTTGAAGCACATTTTGAGGCTTTGAGGCACATGCAAAGTGTCTTCACTCCGTTTTTTTCCCTCTAACAATCTGCTGATACCGCATATTCTTATATTTCCGGTCACACGTACAGACGTACACAGTGTAAGTTCCACATGTGGCTGTGGCCACTGGAGTGGACCCTGATCACTCTTATTCTTTCTACCCATTAGCCTCTCACTCGTCACAGTCAATCACTCACAAATCAACCTACTTTGGACACCTTTTTAGTGTGATTCATTTGTGGAGGGCTTCTTTACCTCCATTGTCATGCTGTCACTTTTCGTATCACTGTTCTTATTGAAGTATTGCTCACTGTGATGCCACCTCAGATGTGACGCTTTCCACTGTCTCCAACCCCCCCTTTCTCTGCCCTCTGTGACCGGGTGTCAGCTGGGATGTCGGGGAGTGGTCAGCGTGCACCAGGAGGTGCGGACCTGGCACTCAGCAGCGTCAGGTCATCTGTCGCCAGGTGACCCGCGTTGACCTGGACGGAACGGAGACTTCGGCCCTCGTGGCGGCGGATCAGTGCCATCGGTCCGAGAGGCCGGTGACCAAGGCCACGTGCCAGCTGAAGATATGCAGTCAGTGGGAGATACGCTCTGAGTGGGGTCCCGTAAGAAGAAAGCCAGGCCCATCTTTTCACGAGGCTTCCACACATTCTCAGGCGGACTTTGAGTGAATCAACACAACCTGTGTCTTTCACCCCCTCTCCCCTAGTGCTCAGTGCCGTGTGGTGTCGGTCAGCGCAGCAGAGAGGTGGTGTGTTTGAGCAACCAGGGCGACGTCGACGACGACGAGGAGTGCAACATGAACCTGAAGCCCGACGATCTGCAGAACTGTGACATGGGAGCGTGCGCTCGCAGCTGGTTCGCGTCTCTCTGGAGCCAGCGGGTAACTCCATCCGCTACAGAGAGGATCGAAATGAAGTTCTTGTCAAACCAGGATACAAAACGTGTTTTAAAAACAGCACTGTATTGCACTGGGGGTGGCAAGGGGGTGTGGTGGTCAGCACCATCGCCTCACAGCAACAGGGTTCTGGGTTCGAGTCCCCAAGAGAACCGGGACCTGCAAAAACCTGCATGTTAGGTTGATTGGACATTTTAAATTGCCCCTTAGGAGTAACTGTGGTTGTTCGTCTTTGTGTGTCTCTCTGTGTTTTTGTGTCTCTGTGTGGCCCTGCGTCCAGGGTGTACCCCGCTTCTCACCCACTGACCACTGGGTTAGGCCCCAGTCCCCCATTGTGGAATAAGCGGTCAGGGTAATGGATGGCTGTTTTTCGCTTTGACCCCGCAGTGCTCCGCAGAGTGCGGCAGAGGCAACCGAACCAGGTCAGCGGTGTGCCTGGCTGACCACGCGACTGACCTGCCGCTGGATGGCTGCGAGGGGAAGCGCCCCTCAGAAGTGACGTCATGTGACTCGGGCCCCTGTCAAAACAAGCTTGAGTGGTACACGGGACCATGGGGACAGGTAACTCATAAACACTCGTTGCAGAAAGTCATTGACAGATTGCCCAACTTCCATTCACTGGTCGTGTCCTCCCAACAAAGTGTTCTGCAGAGTGTGGGAACGGCACGCAGACCCGGAGCCTGGCCTGCATTCTCACCCACCATGGCCGAAAGGAAGTCGTGGACCAGTTGAGATGTTCCGGCCTGTCAGAGCCGGCCACAGCTCAGCTCTGCAGACTGAAACCTTGTGGCGTCCAGTGGTACGTCACAGAGTGGAGCGTGGTAAGTGTCCCCAAGAGTTTCTCAAATCAACCAAATTACAAGGACACTCATCTTATGGTTATCACACAGCACACATTTGCTTGCTGGTAATGGTCAGCACGACACTTTCAACCAATCTGTCTGATTCGGATGAGCAGTTAACTTTACCAAATAGCCAAAAGACAAGGCAACTATGAACAACAAGGGAATTTAGGGAATTTAATTTCAACGTGTTATTCCTGGAAAGAGATTTCTGAATCTGTGACAGTCTGGCCACTCGTTCAGTGTAATCCAGAGGAGGGTCAGAGGAAAATAGGGTGGGTGTGATCCACCATCTTTGTCGGTCACCTCAGTGCTCCCGCTCCTGTGATGGCGGTTACCGGGTCCGCGAAGTGCGTTGCCTCGCCGACAACATCACCCCGAGCGACCGCTGTGACCCCAGCTCCGTCCCAGCGAGCCAAGAGGAATGCAACAAACAGCCCTGTGGAGTGGAAATCAGTAAGTCTACAAACCGTTGTTGCACCACTGCAGTGCCCAACAGGGTCACAGCAAAGCCACCCCCCACCCAGTCAGAGTGAGACCTGTCTCTCAAGGAGGATAATGTTACAGTGGGAAAGATAGAGAGAACTTGTGGTCTCCCGTTTCAACCAAAGAGGTCTTAAAGTAACAGAACGTTCTTTTAAAAAAAAAAAGGAAGTTAGGAAAATGCTCATCCAAAGATGCATGAATGGAAGATGAATTGTCGTTATGTTTCAAAATCTTCAGATTCCCAAACCAGGTGAGATTATGGTCTGGAAAATCCTTGTTCTCTCATCGGGTTTTTTTTGTTTTGTTTATTCAGTGTGGTTATTGTAATGCTACATTAAAATAAAGTATTCCGAATAATCATAACAACATATTCAGATTTCACTGTCAGACTGTTTGGGGGAAGAAATCAATCCATGGGAGAAAGTTTTAACTGTTTAAACAAATTTATCAGAATTCATTTGTCAAATATGCTCATTCCATCTCTACATAGGTTTTTCTTCCCTCCAAAAAAGCTGATTTCTGACACACAAGGTTAATATAGTTCTCTCAAATCACAAAGGAGCACTTAGTGTATCCAGACTTTGATTGGACATGATTTCCCTTTTTCCCCCCACTAACATCACCCTTTGCGTTTTGCCTTTTTTCCCCCTTCCCTCTACAGATCCATCATGCAGTGACCAGTACCACAACTGCATGGTGGTGGTTCAAGCCCGCCTCTGCATATACCCCTATTACAGAGGCGTCTGCTGTGCCTCCTGCACTCGTGCCCAGAAAACAAATCCCAGTCCGTTTAAAACCAACCACATCCGCAGGTGATGCTGCCCCAAGTTTGGTCAATTTAGGGGGACACAGCACTGTCACGGCCAGGTGATTTCATGGGAAAAGCATGAAGCCTTTGGTTTTGATTTCTCATCCTGAAAACTGCTCTATAAGTTATGATCTGATTTCAAGCCAACAAAAGACAGACAAATAAAATAAAATATATATATATATCACGTGCAACCAAACATAAGCACGTTTGACCACTAATAACTCTCCATTTCCTTTTTAAGGAAACACAGCTTCCAACAATCATGGTAAACTGGTATTTGGCTTATATTTGTTGTATTATGATGTGACAGAAAATATGTACGATTTATAATTGTTGATCATCTTTGCATGTATCTGATGTAAGAGCCTGGCAAAGCCGGGCTAGAATACATATGATGGTGCACGCTTTAGAAACGGCAGCTACTCTTCACCCTTACCCTTCCAAAAATAAGAAATGTTTTTTTATTTGTATTGTTATTGTGGACATCGAGATATTGGAAATAAACTGCAACTTGACTGGTAAGCATGATGATAAAAGATGGACTTTTTGTTTGTTTTACTACACACTCTCCTTTTATGCCAATACTTAATGTTTATGTTTGATTTCTAAAACAAATGCTTAAATTCTAAAGCAGAATTTCTTTTTTTCCAAAATCCAGTATTTTGGTAAATATATTTTGTTACGAACAATAAGTCTTGACGCACATCTCAGTCCACAAGTGAGGAGACAATCCTTAAACGCAATCACTGTTTTGGCAATGAGGAGATTTTCTTATGTCCAAATATAGGTGAAGAATTTTGGAAGTGACTCTAAACGTGAAAAGGTGTGAAGGACATCACATTGGCTACACATTCATTCAGGATAGTAAGACCATTGCTTTAATGGGACAGCTGGGTTGACAGCATGTAAAAGGCCATAATTCAATCACGTGAACTTAAAGCACAGAAGCAAAAAAAATAAAAAACAAAACAATGACAAAAAAAAAAGAATAACATTGCATTCCACTTAAGAAACCATTCAAAAGAATTTGGACCAGAGCTCGAACATATTCTTCTCCCGTTGTGTAGCTATGGATAAACGTTCGCCGTGTTCCCGAGGTGCTCCAGAGTTTGTGTCCACTGACGCAAGGCTGCACAGGTAGGGTCCATGCAAGTGGGCTGTTTATGGTGTCCAAAAGGGAAATTTAAAAGGACAACAAAATAAAATATATCTGTAGGCAGAGCCTAGGCCTTTGGCATTGAGGGATGCAGGGTCCACATTCACAAGAAAAATATCCATGGATGCTCGACTATATTCTCCGACACCGTCACCCCAAAAACATTCAAGGCTCTCTTTCCATGCTGATAAACTTCAACTCATTTCATATATAGAAGTATATTTATATATTGTATAACTATATTAACAGAAATGAAAACAAAATGTTACCTTTTGATAGCTTTTTTTTGTTTTTCTTTTTTGCTTTGTCCTTGGCATAGGATGAGAAACGGTTGGGTTTTAATATTATTAAAAGGTTCTATGATAAAATACAAAGTTTTTTTTTTAAAGAAAAAAAAAAAAAAAAAAAAAAAAAGCAACACTTTGCTCACCTGCTTAAACTGTCAAAAAAAAAAAAAAGGGACAATCACCACTTTTACAAGTCAGTCCTGAAAATACTATGGCAAGTGATGGTTTTCCACCTAAAATTTCACTGAGAACAACAAAAATATGCATGTGAACTTTTTTTCATATATAGGTATATAATTTCACTCCCCATAAGATTTGTTCAGCTTATCAAATACAAGAACTAGACGGTTTCCTTTGTAGCATCGTACCAACATTCACCGATTTTGATATTGTAGAAGTCGTACAAAGACAAATACAGTAGGATATAATACAGTTAATACAAAAACATGATGTTCTTCTGAAATGAAAATTTACAAGATATAAACCCAGAAACCGATCTTTTTCAATAAGGACAAAAAAAGAAAAAGAAATGATACCCCCTGAGGTCAAATGATGAAAACAGCCTTGTCTCGTTCCACTACTTTTCTTGTCATTATCAAGTAGTGCGCCAAGTCAAAGGACTTCAGGCATTATCTGGGTGTCCCCTTTGACAGTCGACCTGTAACCACACAAGTGCACTAGTTTGGGTGTTAAAAGCCACTCGCGAGACATCAAGCCTATGGAAAACGTGAAGGCACAATTATTAGAGGCACGACGTACCTCAAGAGTCAAACAACTGTTGTGGTATCAAGGGAGGATTCAAAAATGTGGAGGAAGAAGAAGAAAAAGGAGGAAGGAAGAGGGGAAATACAAGTATAGTTTAAGGTGAAGTTCACATCTGAGAACGACAAGGCAGTGAATCAAGTTAAGGCCAGATTACTTGTGAACGTCCAATCAGAACGCTCGGACAGCAAAGCGCTGACAAATATGAGATTTGTCGTACGAGAAAAGTTTGAAATCAGAGCTGTACTTTTGTCATAACTTGGCTTGCTACATAGTATTTCTTACTCATGGTTCAGTCAATTATATTAAAGAAACAGTTTTTTTTAATAAAATGTTATGCAGAATAAAAGTATAAATGCATATTACAAGAATACACATGGGCTTCAGTCTATAATATCTCAGTAAGGAGTACATCCAAGCATTCAGGGGACTTTGGCTTTAAAAAGGTAGTCTACATATGCACAAATATGAAATGTACATACAAAACTCGTCATAGAAAAACAAAAAAACAAACAAAAAAAACATGAAATGGAAACAATGATTTCTAAATGGACTACATGGCTCACTCAGTAATTCATCACAGCCGCTCTCTAAAAAACAAAAACAGTTTTTCTTCAGATAAAAACATAAAAAACTAAGAACAAACGTTTTCAAGTTTCACCTTGCCACACCCCTACTATGTTGTGAGGTGTGTTCTGGGTTGAGAAGGAACAAGAAATACAAAAAAAACAAAAACAAAACAAAAAAAAGGAACAAAAACTCGCGTTCGGAGGGCTTCAAGGATTTAAGTTCAAGTTTGTCATTCCTCATGTGCAAGTCAGTATAAAAATGCTACAACTCGTACAACGCTTTTGTCAACAGGACAGGTTCAGGGGCAGGCCGAGCGCCCCGTGGTTTGCTAAATGACGAGAGGCTTGGATATTGGCAGGCTAGCTTGTTCTTCGAGGATGCGTTGCATAGTCTCCACTGCTCCGTATCATCTTTTCCAGGCTCCTCCGTCCATCCGCTCATGTGAAGGAGGAGCAACTGTGGGAGTCTGTCATCCTGTCCCGTCTCTTTCTTATGGCCGACGGGTCACCGCCCTCCTCAAATGTGAAAGGACGCTTCGTTTCTTTCCTTCCGACGTTCCGGGTCTCGCTGACCCGTTCACCTCCCCCGGCTGCTTCTCACTCGCTGTCGGTTTCCAAGTCCGAGTCGGACCACTGCACCGGGCTCAGCTTCCCGTGCCGCTGGGCGTACTCGATGACCGCCGTGTAGCAGAAATAGTACTGGTCCCAAGTCTGGATGCTGAAGGCCCTCTGCGTACGCATCCTCCGCACCGTTTGATGGATGTCCACTGAGCCGACGTCCTCCAGCTGGGACAGACAGATGTCCAGTGTGCAGAATGTGCCTGAAACGGGAGAGAAGAGGGAGTGGAGAAAGAAACTAAATCAAACATAAATGAACGAACGGAGGGAGTGGGTGGCCGATCAGGTGAGCCTGAGTTGGCGGTTACCTGTGCGTCCGATGCCGGCGCTGCAGTGAACCACCACGGGGGGCCCCTCGGGAGGCCCCCTCCAGCTGGACCCCATGCTCCGGACGGCAGCCTCCCTTGTTCGGAGCACGTGCTCGCGGAAGTCCAACATGGCAGACGCACTTTTAGGGACCCCGAAGTCCGGCCAGCTCACATAGAGGTAGTGGTATACGTCCCGTTTCTCCCCAGACTGAGGACAACACCGGGCAGGTCAGCAATGCGTCGGAAAACACACACAGACACACACACACCGATGCGTTATCGTAACAGAAATACCATCACAAACACTTTAGCAACAAAAACAAAAGCGTTATCACAATTAGTCATTGTGTTCAGGAGTTACTTGGTTTCACGTAAATGCTTTACCTGTGTGTTGTATAGCTCGAGGTGGGATAGTTTGAAATCCTGAAATACTTGGATATGCGTGTTTCTAACCAGGAAGTACCCATGCTGCTCTGTCCTGCCGTCCTCCAGAGGCCAGTACTGACCGCATTTGACACGGCCACGCTCAACAACCCTGGGAAACGCAGTTGAACTCTTATTTATCATCTTATTGCCGTCTTTGTTCAAGTACAACTCCAGATCAGCAAACATAATGACACATGCAAAAACTGCAACATTCATTAATTACTCTGGGAAGAGACTATTAAATAGGATATATCTTTAAAAATAATAATACTGCAGCTTTGATGAAGTGTGACTGTTCCTTGATAGTGAACCTTAGCAGATTTATAGATTAACAGGCTTATAGGAAGAATGGGACAAACATCCTGTATGCATCAAGAACCTTTTTCATTGTTGTGAAAACGAATTTTGAAAGACTTGAAATTTTAAAATGTTAATCTGTCTCACGCCATCTGATATTAAATAAATGAATGTAAAAGTTCTTCATTTTTACTCATTGCATTACAATCTTCCATCCCATCTTAAACTAATTTCGGGGTGTTGCTTGCACTAAAACACGTTGAGAAAAACAGACCACAGCGAACCAACGTCTCACCTGGTTGTCATGACAATGATGAGTACCATCTGTTCCCATACCATCCGCCAGAAGTCGCCAAAGGTTTTTGGCAAAGGACCTGAGGGACACAACACTGTGAGATCGTGGTTGTACCAGATTGCATGATGCATGCGTCTGAGTGCAGAGCAAAACAACAAAAAAATAAATTAAGAAAACTTTTTTTTATAATGCTAATGAAAAACCAACAAGACCACGGTGGAAAATGTTCATGGTGTTTGGAGTATAAGAGCACGATCAATCTCAGAGTTGCGGTCAGCCTTAACTTCCCTATATCAATGACTACTGAATGTTTGATTTCAACTCCAAAAGCTGCTTCTAATCAACATGGAACTAACAGCCCACCGAACATTCACACTGAAAAACTTTTTTTTTTTTTTTAAAGAAAAGAAAATATGCGTTGTTATTTTATCTGAAAAAGTATCAATCCTTTCCACAACATAGTAAAGAAATCATACCCTGAGTGGCGATGTAGGTGTTGCGTCTCTTGTACCCGTCCATGAAACTGGCGTTAATGTAATCTGATGTCTGTAAAAACACACAGCAAAAAGATAAGCTGCATTCCTCTCTGTGGGGGGGTCGGCTACAGAATGGCTCTGAATAAAAGGACGTTAAAGGTACGTTCAATTTGACCATGTTACCAAAAACCATTTATCGACCTTCATCAATGTGGAAGTGAAGCAAAATGTATGAATATTAAAGTGAAGCAGGCATTCCACATTTAAACTGATAAGAAATACCACTTTGTTCAATGTCACTACAAAACTCTAAAACTATTAAATATAAATAAAGGAAACATTTCCAAAATGTTTTGTTTCATAGGTTGCATATATATGTGACATAAATATATATATTTATATGAACAGAATAAACGCCTTTACATACAACCGATTGAAAGATATTCATTTTTGTATTACAAGTTAAATTTGACCCAGTTTTAACGTACTATCAGAGCAACATACTTAAAATGGAAATGGCTTGATCATCCCAATTTAACTTGGGTACCTTTGTATTGTATGTGTAACATTTCTTTCAACGTCAAAACAAAATCGGGATGTCTACAATTTGTCAAATTCCCAGAAGCTTGTGTAATGGGAAGGGAGGGTTGAATGGGATTTTTCTTTTTCATTTAGCCTCATGAATATCCCGACACAGCATCTGCAATTGCAAATCCGAAGCCAAGTGGGAAGTTTTCGGCGGCCTGAACAGCGGTGAAACATTTCACGGTCGCAACTCGAACCTCGAAACCATCTTCAAACCTTTTGTGCTTCATCGACAAGGAGACAACGTTTTATCGCGCGTGAGGCGTTCATTTTTACCTCATCCTCCTCGTCACAGAGCTGGCAGAGTCGTACTCGTGACTGGTCCAGGCAGAGAACATCGCTGTACCGGTTCTTGATCTGATTGGACAGTTTTCTGCAAAAGGCAGAGTCGACTTTAATCGTGCGCCGCTGCAGCAGGATTTCCACTAGTGGAGGCAGGAAGACAAAAGAGGTTTGAAGGATCTTACTTTGAGTAGTCGAAGGAGCCTGCGGGGGGCTCCTTGCGGATCTCCTCATATTCCTGATAGATGCCCTTCTTCTTCTTCCTCTTCACATACTCCACCAGCTCGTGAACCGTCATGCCACCCTGATCTGGCATGTGAACTGAGACCTCAAAGCAGTGGTTTTCGTCGTCTGGACCCCACGACGAGGATAGGGGAGGGGACTGTGAGGATGGCTGGTTGGGGGGGCGGGGCAGAGACTTCTGGGGCAGTGGGGGCACTCCTTCCTCCTCTTCGCAGTCTTCATCGTCCTCGTTTTGGCGCCCGCCGGCGGGGCCCGTTTCCTCGCCCGCCGCCGCGTCCCCGTCCGCCTCCTGGGAGAGCGCCACGTCCGGCGGCGTGCCCGACTGCGACGGCGCTGGGCAGCCGCGGCCGTTCACGTTGGCGTTGGGGCCGCCGGCGCCGCCCAGGGCCGAGCCGTTCCAGTGCTGGTGGTTGACCTGCGGCCGGTCCGGCGGCGCGCCGGAGCCCTGCGGGTGCTGGCCCAGGCCTCGAGTCCTGGCCTCCGCCGCGCCGCAGTGGTGGTTGTGCGGGTTGGCGTTGTTGTCGTCGTAGCAGTTGGAGTTGGCCGTGGCCCGCTCGGCGCCCGGCTGACGGGGGTGGGCCGGCGTCTCGTCTATGCTGGGGTGGCTGTTGTCCAGGCTGTAGGAGCGCAGCAGGCTGCCCACGCAGTCGCGCGCGTCGTGCTCGCCCGTGTCGCCCTTAACGCTGTTCGTCTGCATGTTCACGCAGGACTGGATCCAGGCCACGTGGCTATACTGAGATGTGCCCCCCAAGTGTTCAGGGAGGGAGGAGACCGGGATGTGACTGGCCAACTCGTGAGCTTTCACCGTGCAAACCTAGTAAAGAAGTAAAAATGAACAAAATAAAATTATATATATATATTTTTTTAATCTGTAAATGAGTGAGCATGAACACATACCCTTTCTCTCAGCTTCTCACGGACAAAGAGACGCAGCACTGTGAAAGGGGCTCGAAACCAAAGCGGCGAGGACACGATGAAGACGCATTTTAGACGAGCTGGGAACGCCCCCTGGGGAATAACAAAAAAAATTACATTAAAAAACAAACATGCAGAATGCTGAAAAACTATTTTTTTCCTATTTGGCGAGATGAAAAAAATAGAGGCATTTGAGAGGTGTACCTTGAGTAAATTGAGAATCTTGACGCAGAGCTCGTAGTCAAAATTTCCGTAGCTGGAATTTGTCATGTCATAAATAAATATGAGACCGTCTCGTTGGGTTTGTGTACTGGAGAGAAAGGAACGAGAGGACACTGTGAATTTCACCGCAATTGGAGCCGATGCTCCAGTTCAGACTTTAGCTCTTGTGGTGCATGTCTGTTTTGTACAAGTCTGCAAGAATTTCTCTCAGGCACAAAAGCAGAAATAAGAACAGGAACAAGGTGGAAATATGAGAAGATGTTTAACTGGAGAGGGACAGTATTCTCGTAAACGGTTAACAAGTCTGGGTCGTCACTGGACTTTTTGATTGTGTTAAATGACAGAAAACAATGGAAACGGAAATAAAGATACTGACGCAGAAATGGTCAAAAAAGAAAAAATGAATGTAGAAAAAAAAAAAAAAGGCTTCACCTCTCTATGGCTTTGTCCAGCTGATAGATGATGGCCTGCAGCACAGCTTTGTGAGTGGTGACGTCTGGCCGATGGAGGCGGGCAGTGAAGAGTGCCAGGGCAGCACCCTTAGCATCTCGGCCAGGCTGGAGGGAACATCAATGACTCAGAAATCTTTGCCACCATTTACGCATTAAGAGACAGACCAGTCACAAAAAGAGAAAACAAAACAAAACGCAGTGTGCATGCATTTCTTTTTGTTTTTTGGTCTGGGACTTCTTGAGTTCAAGCTAACACAACTGGCATGGCCCCGAGCTCACAACAACATATTTAGGGAAGAACTTGTTGAAACTTGTTGGTTACAAATGGTAAAGTTACTGAATTACTGTGTTTCTTGGTATTTTAAGAGGCTAAATTGTGTTTGCCAGTTATGCGCATATGACTGAATAAACGCTAAAGTCGCATTCTTTCGATCTGAACCTTACGACGACAAACTGGAGCCACTTTATTTTACAAAGCTCGACCTTGCACTGGTACTCACCAGAACTGTAAATTTGCCACTCAGAAGCTCAGAGCGCAGGGGCTCCTCATCAGGGTTTATATTAATGATGCCCTCTTTGATTCTTGTGTTCTAATTTTTACAAAAGGATAAAAGCAAAAGCTCAATTAACATAAATTAAGAAAAAGAAATCATTACACAGCTGCAAGAAAGTCTGAAAGCACAGGGTGAAAGTCAAACAACAGGTGTCTGATGTGTCCCATCAGGTCATAATCTGTATGATCTGCACAGCTTTCATAGCAACAATGTATAGCCCCAAAACTGTGCAGATCAAAATATTAAACGGTTAATTATGTTTGATTGGTAATTATGGAATGAAAAATGTTTCAATTAAATTAGAAAACTCCATTAAGCTCAGTAACAGCTGGGAAAGCAATCTTCACAGTCACAAAGCAAGTGTATTTATTCCTTTAGCTTTCATTAATGACAAATTGAACCGTGTCCTTAGGTGTGCAAATGAATGAAGAAGTCATTCTTGCATCTAACTGGTTAATACAATATTGGTTAAAAAAATGCAATCTCAATAAATATCAGTCATTTTTAGGCAACTTGGAGCGCTTTTGGTGACAACAAAGGCATACAAGTGACAGTTTTGTCAGCCCAATGAAGAAAAACAAAACAAACTCCACCTTATATGCTTGGAATAGCTCAATGGATCTGGAGACGTCAAACTTGCGGGCCATAAGAAACTTAACAGCTGTAGGTTGGGAGACGAGCCCAGCGCTGTGAGGCAGCTCCCTGCTCCGCACCTCTCTCAGGAACTCCTCCACAGCCTGGACAGATGTGGCAGAACAGACCAGAGGAGAGAGGAGAGACGGTGAACGTTTGCTAAGGAGATGAGAAGCCCCTCCGAGTTCGTAATCGAGACGGGGAACGCCGCCACGGAAGGTTACAAACCACAGCTCCTGTGGCTTTAGGGGAGTGGGGGACCTTCACAAGTGACAAAGATGTACCTACAGGTTCACTGCAAAGTGATAAAGCAATGGAATGAAGGCCAAAGCAGACATCAGATCATTTAGAGATGGGGCAAGCCCCTCATTCGCAAAAGCTTTGTGTCTCATCAAGCCCAGAAATGAAAATCTTCAGTAAAGCTCCAAACCAGCAGCTCCAAATAGCATCAATCAGCAGAACAAAAAAGAGAAGGAAGAACTGCCTTTTGTCCATTTGACGTGGGATGATCTTTCAAACCGACACTGTTGAAAATGTTTTTTTCTCATTCAGCTCCATCCCCCGTTTTAAAGTTTCAGTTATCTAGCTTTAGTTAATATTCTTGCAATAAACCTTGCCATTTGACTGGAAACAGAAAAATAACCTACTGTTACAAGATGGGAAGAGAAAAAAAACCCATTGTGTTTGCCATGTGAAAACAAAATGGAATTTCACAGCAGGCCTCTGCCTAAAAAGGCATCCAGTTTTAGTCATGTTTACATGTGTCGTTTACGTACACCAAATCTTAATAAAGAAAGTGCAGGAAAAAAAGAAAAAGTCTTTGCATTTACAGGGATATAATCAAAACAGAATTTTGCCTTGTTGCACGAAATACTTTAATCTTATTAAAAGGTGCAATTGGAACAAAAAGCCCCTCAGGCACCCGCTTAATCGGGATTAATTCTTAATCATATTAACAGGTCATGTCACACCTTTTGATACACTGCATAAATCTTAGCTTGTAATAAATGTCTACACAACAACTCTTGACTCGCTAATTGAAGCACATTTAGCACAGTATGAAAACGTATTTGTCTATGTTAACATGGCTGATATAAGAGATGGCACATGCAAATGAACCCCCTTTATGCGAAACAAGTGATGGGGACGGATGGAAACATCAGTACCTCTTATCGCCGACGATCCAAACAAAACCCAAAAAAAATCAGACACCTCCAGGAGCGACTCAAGTCTTCCAATGTTTCAGCCGTCTGTGAATAGATCGACGTTCCGAGATATGCGAAGGCTTTCAGTACCGAGAAAAGGATCTCCCTAGTTTATGATGCTGTCCAAGCGCTTCGTATAAATAAGCTGTCAGTACGGGATGACGGTAACACAAGCAGCCCTAAAATAACACAGTTATCAGAATCGCAGCGTGACTTTTGGCATTAATACCTGGCCCACCCCTTTTACTAGAAAGCAGTGGCAAAAACAATGCTAGGAAAAAGAGGATCGTTTCTGTGAATTCCTCTGTGAGCATCCGATAGACGGAACGCTGCTCGTTAGTCGGCTTTTAGCGAGAACTCGTGTTGTTCTATGAGTCACGATGCTTGTCCTTTTCCACCGTGACACGATACAACATTAAAATCTTTAATCGAAACATGGACTCGCTTGCCATTTCCTGCTCAAACGATAGTAAAATACAGTGTTTAAGTTGCGGCAACGCAGCTGTTGAAGAAATTCCCTGCAAGTCAACAATAGCTATTAGCACTAGCTAACGGCTAGGTTACATGTGGTAGCTTAATAGCTGTCGTTAAAGATATAAAACACACAGTCAGGTAATTTTACAAGAAAACAGTCAGCAACGAAACCGTTTTTCTTAAGTTAAGAAAAGCAATGTGAACATATGTACGTGTTTCATGCAACGGGGAGTTATTAAGGGAGCATGTACACGAGACACACTGCCGGCTAAATGATTCCCTTTAGAGCTAGCAAACGCCATCATGCTAACACACATGCTAACTACTGTCAGTCACACCGGAGTCAGTCGACCCAGGAGAGAGCGAACGGGCCACAGCTGTTTACTACACGGCATCGTTCCTAGGAAAAATTATATGAAGAGATATATTTGATATACCACTGGTTAAGAGGAAAAACACGGTGGCACAACTTCACACAGAAGATGATGGGAAGACAAGGGGGGGAAGAAAACGTCCAGAGAGCCTTACCAGCTGCTCCTGAGTTGTCAAGGCTTCCGCCATCTTGAAGCCTCCGCAACGTCGCAAACGGGCGCGCCCACCAGGCGCTCGCTCATGCTCAGAGACGGATACGCCCATACGCATCCACTGACATTCCGCTTACTGCTTTTGACAGGTGTCGTGCCAAGGTAACGATCCCTGACCAGAGGTGGGCTTCCCTTACGCGCACACCCGCTCATCAGACCCGGGCCCCCATTATTGCATTTGGGAAAGGATGGGAAATTGCTTTTAATTGTTTGAGGGATGTTGTTCTGTCCAGTGACATATAGCAAAGGGGACTTGAAATACATGCAAACTTGAAATGTATTCAAATATGTGCTTTGTTTTGTTTCTACGTGTTGTCGATCGATGCTGAATTATTGTTTGGGTAATGACCAAAGGCATAGACAGCATCGTGGTACCAGCAAGTTTTGGTCACCTGGGACATAAGTGTGAGTCACAGTGTGCATGAAGTGTTATTAGAGATGTGGATTATTGTGAATTTCTTTAGCTTTCACCAAGATGTATTAAACATAAATACAAACATAATGTGTTTACGTTTACATGAAACCATTCGCGGATTGAATAAATAAATAAAAAAGCTAGAGGCAACCATTTCTATTAGACTGGAGACTGTCCTTTCTGTGTACCAGATTATAGCCTACTGTTGTTAGGTTTATATTCACATCAGATCATCTTGAATAGACCCATTACTCATTACTCTGGGTACACTTCCTATAAGGGAAAGCTACCTCATTAAGACCACAAATTACTTTGGAGTGTCACCTGATGCAATTAACAGTCAAATTTCACAAAGTAATACATAGTTTTCTTATTTCTTCTTGTCTTACAAATGTGTTATTTGCTCACCTTTACGTCACAACATTTTCATATTTTCTCAGGTTTATTTACCTACCCAAAAACGTTTTTTAAATAATTTAGTCAACAATGAGAATGAGCACTAATTAGTTTGAATTCTTACTATTTTTGTATTTTTGTATCAGTTAATAGAAGTGCAGTGGCCCCACACGGGAACTGTAGTAGTTTCTGGCTATGTTCCGTAGGACACATTTAGTGAAACACCAATGTTACCGGCGGTCTTTTTGATTCCTTAATTGTTTAGCAACGTTCAACTCACTGTTTATACTTACCAGGCAAGATATTTAGAAAGAGGGAGACTGTTGTGTTCAAAAACGTAAAACAGTTTGTAACGAAGTAAAAATAATTACCTGTATGCCATGTTAGTTAACATCCACGAACTCGGACATTTGTCAACATTAGTTCAGATTCTTCGGTATGACCTCGGGTCCTCAAAAGAAAAAAAGTTACCTGGGACAACATCAGATCAAAAGGAAAATAAGGTAAGTTTGGATAACAGGTTTCCTTCACGTTTCGTTGCTGACCTATTTTCTTTTGAAGAATTGTGATTATTTCTGTTGCCTGGAAACACCCTCCAGTGCTGTTACGTAACATTTCCAACAAATTACGTTGGTAGTGCCTGTGTTAAAGCTGCTTGTCTGAACACAGCATCAAAGGTAATGATGGCCCAACGGAGGGAGAGGGACATCTGCAGAATACGTGCTATTTGTCAGACAAAACAAGCACGTTGCACAACGTTAGCAGAAATGGAAGCGTGGTGAGTCATACTTCACTTTGTAACTTCTTTCCCGGCAAATTTTCAGCTCTTACTACTTGTTTATTTAAAAAAAAAGCATGGCAACTATCTTCCTATGTTAGGCTAAAGGTGCTGTGCTGCCGCTGGGGGAATCCTCATTAGCTCTTGATGAAGAGATGCTGCAGATTTTGGATGCTGCTGATCCTGGGCAGCCTGTTTGTTCAGTAACAGTAAACAGGCATGTCCAGAAAGAACCAGGTTCTTTAGCTGCCTTTGCTCCTCCGCAACCACTTGGACCAGCTGCACATGAAATACAGAAGAGCGATTTATTGCAGACGAGGGGCACGGGATCTCTACTGCTCACGGGTGGGAGACCCAATGGAGCCCCTCATTCACAGGACAGTAACTGTAAGAGACCCGGATGGAACCCCTCCTGTGGAGACCTTGCTCAGAAGCTTCTCTTCAGTGAAGGCTATGTGGAGGTGGATCATCCTCAAAAGGATCAAGAAAACCTTCATTCAAGATCTGCTTCCGTCTCTGTCAAGCCTCTGTCTCATCAGAATCCGTTAAACAGCCAGGAAGTTGGAAGCTCCAGCAAGTAAGACCATACTTGGATATTTTATTCCTGTTATTTCATCATTTTGTATATTCCTCTGCTCCCATTGACCTATTGCTCTCTATGCTTAAATAGGCGGACTCACAGAAGCAAAAGCTCTCCCAGCAACAATGAATGTCAGTCAGTGAGGAGTGCTGATCAGCCTTCAGATGCATCCAGGGACTACATCTTGTTCAGCCCCACACGTCTCGCAGCGGCAATGAAGAGGGCCAAACTTCAGCAATCCTTTCAGAATCAATCCACCTCTGTGCTCACGATCCCCAGTGGGCTGGAGCTCAGCACTCTCAACGAAACTCTACCTCAACCAGGTGAAGTGTGTTAAACACAGATAAAAAACATTTGTTTTTCTTCTTTTCTCGCCTCTGCCCATGTCTGTTTGTTTTGGTCCCTCCTTTGTATCTTTTCAGGCTGCCGTTGTTGTCAAAGCTGAGATACTAGGTGAAAATATGGGGGATTCATGATTTGCGAACACAAAACAAAGCGGCCTTAAAAGCTGCACCTCGATACGTCAGTGTTATGTATTTGTAAATGTGTGATTTTGCTCTGCTGCAGGCATCGCTTTGTGCGCCCCGCCGGAGCAAGCCGAGAAGCTGCTGCTCTCCAGCTGGGGTTTGCCCAAGCCTGTTCTGGAGCGCTACCGGAAACATGGGGTGACTCAGATGTTTGACTGGCAGGCTCAGTGCCTCACCGTTGGAAAGGTGCTGGAGGGGGGGAACCTGGTGTACTCGGGTAAGCAGCGAAATATTTGTCCAACAAGCCGTTTACTTTTTTGCAGAGCCAAACGTATCATTTTTTAATGTGTATCTATCACTGAGTTCAGCCCCCACCAGCGCCGGCAAAACTCTGGTGTCAGAGCTGCTGATGCTCAAGCGTGTGCTGGAGACCAAGAGAAAAGCTCTCTTCATCCTGCCCTTTGTGTCTGTGGCCAAAGAGAAGATGTACTCCCTTCAGGTGAGGGAGAGGCGAGCAGAAACACTAAACACACACTCCTTCTTCTTCTTTTTTTGTTCATGTATATTTCAGTTTTTAATTGGCAGTGCGCTGCTTGAATTGAAACGTCACTCTCATTGCGTCCCTTCCCCTTAACAGAGTGTGTTTGAAGAGGCAGGAGTTCGTGTGGAGGGCTACATGGGCAGCATCTCGGCTGTTGGAGGGTTCACAACGCTGGATGTGGCCGTCTGCACCATTGAAAAAGCCAACTCTCTCATCAATAGACTCATCGAAGAGGATAGCATGGATCTGCTAGGTATGGCTATTGTTTAAATTGTGCGAAAACCATTTATAAGTCAGTAACTTGGGAGGAAATGTAAGCAAAACATTGGCTAGTTGTTGATTCTAACAATTTCCTAAATTCCCGTTTTATGTCAAAAGCGAATGCCTTTTGCACAGAACTGTTGGACTGCATTTTTATAGCAGATAATTTAGTGAAAATACTAGTGACTCATGGCTCTGATTGTCAAGTTTTATCTCTGTGCTGGTAGGTATGGTGATTGTGGATGAGCTGCACATGGTGGGAGACTCTGGAAGAGGATATCTGCTGGAACTGCTCCTGACTAAAATCCGCTATATTGCACAGAAACGGAACACCACAGGGTTTGTGTGTCCATTTGTTTTATTAAAAAAAAGAAAATATACCCCATATATTTCCCCTATTAAGCTCCCTTTAGAAATAATGGTCTTCAGCCGCACATGTTAATCAGCTTTTCTACAGATCTCTCTCTGAGGGCGTTCAGATCATCGGCATGAGTGCCACTTTGCCAAACCTGAGTCTGTTGGCGAGATGGTTAGGGGCAGAGCTTTACCAGACAGACTACAGACCCGTACCCCTCCTGGAGCGTCTTAAAGTGGGCTGCAATATCTACGATAAGAGTCTTTCTGTGGTCCACCCGTTCACCCCATCTCTCCATGTTAAGGTAATTACTGAAATGGACTAAAGTTCATGATCCAATTTACAAACATTTCCAACCATGTGACATGTAAGTAAAAGTACAGTTTAGTACCACAGATTTTTTTAAGAACATAATGTGAAGAGGCAGCTTATCGCATATATGAAACTCAGAAATTAATGATAATGTGTGTGTGTACACATGTATGTGTGTGTGTGTATGTATGTATATATGTGTGTTCTTGTTTTTGAACATTTATTGATTTTAAATTTGATGTTGGTAACTTTTAAGAAATTTAATTTGGGTTTATTTATGGCAGCTTTGTTAAGGCACTATTTATTTCAGTGGCACTCTTTACGTTTTTGGGAACTAAAAACACCAGTTTGCAATAGATCCGAAAGTAAAAGATCTCCCTTTTTGACTTGATATAAGAGTTTTTTTGCTTAAATATATGTGGCTTCAGTTGTTTTGTTCCCCCCCTTCCTCTTCCATTACCAGTTGAAAAAATATGTATTTCCTTAGTGGAAATAAACAAAGTGAAACCCACAGTAATCCAACATTTCCAAATTGCGAAAGACTGGTATTGTGATCGTGACAAACCTGCTTCTCTCTTCTTTAAAAAAAGAGTACATCTGCATTCACTGACACTTGTTTTTCAGATTTTTTTTCTTTTTCTTTTCTTTTGGCTCAGTTAAATAAAAATTTCACCATAAGATTATGTCTGTTTTTAATGCACCGTGAGCAATGGCCTGAAAAACCCTCTTACTCCACAAAAATAAGGATATCTCCTGATGGTTTGAATCCTTGAATGATTATCCTTAAATTGGAAACCACAACTGATTTGCAATGAAGTATTAATTTTCAACACAAATGATTTTCGGTATAATTTATGTTTCTCACTGTACTTCTGACAGGCTCGCTGGCTCTGAGATGTGTTTACCCCTCCCTGTATGTCCTCTATTATTGCTGTTATGCTATTATGCTGTTACTAGTTATTATCATCATTTGAGGTTTTCATTATGTATAATGTGATCACATCTGATTTGAAAGATCTGTTGCAAATCAAAAAGTTGGATCTTTCAAACAATATATTTTTTTTTTTATTCCATTTTTCCTCATGAATCCTGACTTGAACCCTGACTTGACCCTGTGCTTCCCTGCTGGAAGGGTGACGATGACCACATCGTGAGCTTGTGTTACGAGACTGTGAGCGAGGGCCACTCTGTGCTCCTGTTCTGCCCTTCCAAGAACTGGTGTGAGAAACTGTCGGATTCCATCGCCAGAGAGTTCCACAACCTGAGACAGACCGGTGCGTGAGGGTCAAAATAGGGACCAGATGAGGCGCTATTTTCTTGTTTTTTTAGTGCGTTGTTTTTCAGTCCAGATGTCTGGTTTTTGCTTTAGATGGCGGCGAGGCTGACCCCCAGCCGGTGTGTCTGAATCGGGATGGACTGGCGGATGTGATGGCCCAGTTGAGACGAACTCCGGCCGGTGTAGACCCCATCCTCCAGCGCACCGTGCCGTGGGGGGTGGCCTTCCACCATGCTGGTGAACACATTCATTAGTAACAGCAGAATGCAGGTGAATCATTTATTGGTTTGTTTATTTTGCACACCTAAACTAGATGGGATTTCACTCCGCAGGTCTGACATTCGACGAGCGTGACGTGTTGGAGGGGGCTTTTCGTCAGGGCTTGATCAAAGTGCTGGCGGCCACCTCCACCCTCTCCTCGGGGGTAAATCTCCCGGCTCGCAGGGTCATCATTCGAACGCCAACTTTTAACGGCCACACGCTGGACCCGCTCACGTACAAGCAGATGGCGGGACGGGCGGGGAGAAAAGGAGTGGACACCACAGGTGCGGAGCCAAGACAATATGCTAATTACTAATTTGAGCATTCACAGTGTCTTTTCCTCTTCATGGTATCATTCTGTCCACCCCTTCTAGGTGAAAGTGTGCTGGTGTGTAAGGAAGCAGAGCGCCAGAAAGGCATCAGCCTCCTAAAAGGTGCTCTTCAGCCAATCAGCAGCTGCTTAATGAGAAGGGAAGGTGAAGGCGTCACAACCAGCATGCTACGCGCCATCCTGGAGGTTTGGCATCTAACTCAAAAATTTGCAAAAACACTGTCAGTATTCCAAAACAAACAAACAAATCAAACAAAAACCTCCTCCCATGCATTGTTTCATATCACAGATAATCGTCGGTGGTGTGGCCAGCACCCCACAGGACGTGGAGTCCTATGCTTCATGTTCACTTTTAGCTGCCAGCATGAAATCTGACAGCAAGAAGGAATCTAATGAAGAGACCAACAAAGGCGCTATTGAGGCCTGTGTTGAATGGCTGATGGAGAATGAATTCATCAGTATTCAGAAAGAAGGGGAAGGTAATGTGACAGTTCTAACAGTGCTCTCTCTTTACCCTTTAACATCACCTCCAGTGGTGTAGCGAACCCTCTGTATTTTGCACTCAGGCAAATTTTCGATTCTTCCCCCCCCTTTTTAAAAAAAACTCTTCTTTGCTATAGGTTTAGTTATCTTCCTTTTTGTTTACAGATGAGCGCTACTGTCCGACCCAACTCGGTGCCGCCACACTCTCTTCATCCCTTTCTCCTCCTGAGGCTCTCGGAATATTTGCAGATCTCCAGCGGGCCATGAAGGGCTTTGTGCTAGAAAATGATTTGCATGTTCTATATCTGGTACACTTGTTTTACCTTAAAGCTATAATGTCACAAATAGGACAACTGTTTGATTTATCTGGCTGATAGTCATCTGTGCTGAAACCCCCTCAGATCACTCCGCTTTATGCGGAGTGGACTACCATAGACTGGTACCAGTTCTTCTGTCTGTGGGAGCAGCTGCCATCATCGATGAAAAGAGTGGCAGAGCTGGTTGGTGTCCAGGAGGGCTTCCTTGCACGATCCGTCAGTGGCAAACTCGTTGCCAAGACAGAAAAGCAGCGTAGACAGATGGCCATTCACAAACGGTAAAGCACACACACAGCAGACGCACATGCTGTCTTTGTTAACCGGCCCTTCAGTTCCTTTTCTTCTGTTCCTTTTTCACAAGAAGTGGGCGTTTGTGATATGACATCCAAATGTGTGTATGCACACAATTGAAACCTAGACAGTTGCTATCATCAGTTTCAACTTTGGTTTAACCCATCGTCCTTCAGGTAAATTTGCCCGCAAAGCTTTTTCCATTCTGGTACTGGAACAAGAGGTGACTTAACCACACCGTATTTAAAGTATTGAATTGCTTCACTTCAGTGATGCCGACCCCGTCACATAAAAGCATATTGGAAAAATCCCACTGATGCATGTTCCTCCCTCCTTTTAATCTCTCCTCAGGTTTTTCACCACTCTTGTCCTACAGGATCTGGTAAATGAGGTCCCTTTGGGAGCTGTTGCATCTAAGTACAACTGCAATCGCGGGCAGCTACAGTCCCTCCAACAGTCTGCCTCCACATATGCAGGTACATGCTTGAAAGTGATGGCAATGAGCAGAAGGATCTTTCTTTTGACTGGAGTATTTGTAGGAAGGCACCTGTCTGATCACTTTAAGATGGTCTGAAGTGACCTATTGTAAGACTTTGACCTGTTGTACATGGCACAGAGGCACTTTGAGGCTTTTGTCGTCGTTTCTTTCAGGCATGGTGACGGTTTTCTGCAAACGGCTGGGCTGGCACAACATGGAGCTGCTGTTGTCTCAGTACCAGACCAGGCTGAGCTTTGGGGTCCAGAGAGAGCTGGTGGACCTGGTCAGGGTGTCCCTTCTAAACGCAACTCGAGCCAGAGCGCTCTACGCCCAAGGCCTGCGTACCGTGGCCGAGCTAGCCAGGGCTACTGTCGCTGATGTGGAGAAAGCCTTGCGTAATGCCATCCCATTTAAGAGGTAAGCTCAGCCCACTGGATATCTGTTCCATTAAAATCCAACGCAGGGGACTTAAACTAAACGTACCAACCACCTCCGTATATAAATACAATAAACTATTCCAGAAAAACTAAGAATAAAAAGAATGTGTTTGAAGGTACATTTAATTTAAAGGAAAAACCTAAACCGTGAATGACAGCATCTTGTTGATACATGGATGATAAGTATTAAAGGAAGGCAGACACAAAAAAATATATGTTTTCCCCTTTGCGGGCACACTCACACACAAGTAGGTTAACATGGAAGTTGTTTTTCGGGTTGGAATTTTAGCGCCACTCGGCCCATCTTGGGTCACAATAAGTGCTTTCTTTACTTCTGGTTTGGCCTCGGAGTTGGTACATTGGCATCTTGGTTGATTTAAGACAGGGGTGTACAACCTCTGCCCTCGAGGGCCGCTGTCCTGCAGGTTTTAGTTTCCCAGCTAGAATACTCCTGATTCTTATGAAATAGATCAGTTCAAAAGTTCCGCACAAGCCTGATAATGGCACGCTGACGAAAATCAGGTTAGTCGAGGAAGATAAACCTCTAAAACCTGCAGGACGAATCAACACAAACCTCTTATTAAAGTGTGACCTATGCAAACCCAAACGCCTACAGTGACCTCTGTGTAAACAGTCTGATCCGGCAAGCTCCTCTTAGACTTGTGAATAGCCAGACAATCCATCAAGGAGGCGACACGTTAAAGTATCTAATTATTGGTCACTGTTTTTCGCACCTGTAAAAGTCTTGTCGTTTGCTGCCTCCACCAGCTCCAAGCGCGCCGTGGACGAAAGCGAATCGGAGGCGGCGGAGAGGCGAAAGCTCCGCTGTGTGTGGGTCACAGGCGGCAGGGCCCTCACAGAGGAGGAGGCAGCCGTCGAAATCGTGTCCGAGGCGAGGCTCCTTCTTCAGGAGGACCTGGCCCAGTTGGGAGTCCAGTGGGAGCCGGCAGCACTGACGCCGGGGGGCGCCTCGACCGGCTCTGGTCTGGACCCAAATGGTGATGTACAGACGGAGAGCGGCGAGGGGGTTCCAAAGGGAAGGAAAAGGAAGGGCCAAGCCCCCGTTAAGCATCGCCAGGGCGGCGAGAAAAACGACAAAGAAAAGGGTGAAATGGTTGAAAAGAGAAGAGAGCAAGAAGCCAGAAAGGAAGCAGTTCAAGGGAAGGCAAATCAATCAGAGCACAGCAGCACAGAAAAACTTGAAGCAAAAGCAGAAGATAGAGAGTCGGAGCTAGGAGGAGAGACTAAACCTGTGGATAATCGGACCGAACGGCCTGCTCCTGAAAGGAGCTTGACACAGGAGTTGGCTGAGATTGTGTCCAGCCCCGGGCTGGAGCTGCCCCCACGGCCTCGGCCCCCTCGCTCCCCGGCGCCACCCCCGCGATTCAGAGCCCCCACGTCCCGGCGAGAAAGACGACAGAGCGCGTCTGCCCCCGCCGAAAAGGAGGGCCTCCCAGCGCTTGCCACCTCTCCCCCGGGGAGACTCAAGCACTCCAGAGCTCTAAGCAGAATCCTCCAGTCCATGAAAACGGACAAAAGCCCACCAGGCGACGACACCCCGCGCTCGGAATCGGCGGGGATCTCCCCAGCTCCATCTGCTCAGGCGGCCTCTGCACAAAGCAACCCTCGGGCCTCCACGCCGTCAGCCCCTCCGGCCCCGTCCGCCTCATCCTCGCCCGAGTCCAAGCGGAGGCGGGTCGGAGCGGCAGGGCTCGACGAGTTCTCGTCGCCCGAGCTGTACGGCGGCGACACGGCGCAGCAAGCCGAGGCGCGGGCTGACGCGGGCGAGGAAAGTTTCGGGGACAGCTTCGAACTGGACACCCAGACGGAGAGAATAATCATCCAGCAGACACGCAGAGACCAGAGCGACGGAGGCCCGGCCCAACCGCAGCAGGAGGCGAGAAGGGAGGAGGCAGCTGTACAGCCAGAGATCAGCCAGGATAAAGGCTCAGACACAACCTCCCCCAGATTCAATATTTCTCTCACAGACAGCCAGATGGAGCTCATCCTCAACACCAGCCAGCGGGTAAGCAACGGCCAAAGACATTCGTCACACTCTAAATCTCTGGCTCTGATTACAATTGAAAGCTATGATGCTATTTCCACAGATATCCCCAGTTGCTAGCGATGAGGCGGATGAGGATAGAAATGAAGGGGAGCTTGACGAGCAGCTCCCCAAAGCTAACCAGGCTGCCACAGACAGTCCCAACAGGAGCAGCAGCTTCCTGTTCGACAGCATGTACGACAGCCCCCCCGCCGCGCCGCCCAGGCCGCAGCCTGCGCCCGACCCGCCGGGCGACGAGGAGCCTGCCAGCCAGGAGGCCGGAGCCCAGGGCCTCCCCCCGGCGGCCCACCAGAGACGACGCAGCGAGCTTCTCGCCAACCAGGAAGCCGAGCAGCACGAGGCGGTGCAGTGGGGCGAGTCCTCCTTTAACCTGTCGGAGTGGGGCGACTCGCTTCTGGTCGGCGAGCACTTCCTGGAGAGGCAGAGCCTGCTGAGGCTCGCAGAGAGGGCTGAAAGAGAGGACGAGGGGCAGCGGCCAAACACAGGCCGCCAAAAGGAGGGGGACGCCGTTGATAAAGACCTGGGTCCAGGTCAGAGCCGTGAAGACGGAGAAACGGCAAGACAAAAAAAGGAAATTACAAGTGAGGGGGAAGAAAAAGAAGTAATGGAGGCTTTGTTTTCAGATAACGCAAAACATCAACATGTGGGAAATGCAGCAGAGACTGCATTTCACTGTAGTCCAGGTTTACAGGACATCTTTGACCGCTGGCCTAGCATGACTGACCAGCCTGCCCATACGGCCAATCAGACGCAGGCCGCCGCTGCGAACACAGCCGGCGTCCCGCCGTCGACTCCCGACTCCCGGACAGGACGGCCCTCAGAAAGTGAAAAAGGGAACGGAAAGGAGAGACCAGGCTCGGCTTGTGACCTCATTCCCCCAACCCAGGAAACGCCCCCTGTCACCGCCAGGGTTAAGCTGACCACCTCATCTGTCCAAAAGACTATTGCCACTGGCCCGCGTGGACAGTCAACTCCCTTTGTACCCCGTCAACAGGAATCGCTGAACACAAAATGTACCACGTCCCACACAGAAAACCATGACCATCCGTCAGCAGCCCTTTCTGCCTTTGACAAGAAAAAGGCGTCAAAAAAGCCTCCAAAAAAGGAACCGGAGCCCGTTCCACAACCCGGCTCGAACACAGAACCGTCGCCACAGGATCCCCTCCATCCCGCAGAGCCTGCTTCCCCTTCCTCCCCCCAGCCGCGGCCTCCCCCTGCCGCAGAGTCCCCCGGGTGTCCCGAGGGCTTTGCTCTCCGGCTGTCCCAGGATGCGCCGCCCAGCTCCAGCCACCCCCGGACCTTCTCCATCATAGACGTGGCCAGCGACAGGCGCCTCTTCCACACCTTCGCCCAAGAGTGGAAAACGAAGAAGCGATACTCTGTGGCTTTGGCCTGCCAGAGGGAGGAGCGCAGACCGCAGCCCGAGGCGGAAATGGAAGCGAAACACAAGAGAGGTGACACGGATGCTCCCGGCTCATTGTTGGTCAACCGTTTGCGCAATGAAATGTTTATTTATTCAACTTAAACTCCCAGACATTTGCTTTCTGTTCAGCATGCAGATGTTTGCTTCTGTTTGGCATGCAGATGTTTGTTCCTGTTCAGCATGCAGATGTTTGTTTCTGTTCAGCATGCAGATGTTTTTCTTTTGAGCATGCAGATGTTTGTTTCTGTTCAGCATGCAGATGTTTTCTTTCTGTCCAGCGTCAGCAGCGCATTCCAGGCTCGAGGCGGCCGGCGGTTTTCCAGTGAGAGACAGAAAAGGACTTGTTTTAATCGGACTGTCCGTGTGTTGGGGAGCGAGAGACGCGTACTACGTATCTCTGCAGCAGGAGCAGAGCCCAGGTACCCGCAAACGGGTCGAAACGCACCGGGGCACCTTTCGAAAGCGTCTCCCCAGCTCAGTGTGTCTGTTGCCCCCCCACCCTCCCCAGGCTTGAGCGCCAGCCTGGCCCCTCCCCCGCTGGACGACGACCTGCCGGTGAGCGAGAGGCTGGAGCAGGTGAGGGCCAGTCTGAGCGGCCGGCCAGCCGGTCACCAGGTGGTTGCATACGACATCATCGAGGTGTACAAGACGTTAGTGCTGAGCTGCGGCATCGGCCTGGAGGGAAATTGTGAAGATCCAAAGGTGAGAGGGAAAAAAACTCCAACCAACGTGCAACGGAGCTGTCATTTTTTACCTATTTCAAGAAGCCCGTCCCTTCAGAAACCTGAATAAGATAAAAGTTTTTATCCATAAATGATACATGAAATACTTTTTTTTCAACTTAAGAAAGAGAAATCTTGTGTTTATATGAAATAAATGGATAAAAATCATAATATTCCAGATAATTTTTTTTAATGGATATTATATTTGTCTGAAAACACTCGCTGTGAAGAGTCCAAAAAGTCCAATAACATTTTTTAATAAGATGACAAATTTTCAAAGGAAAGACTATAAAAACATATAACATCCCCTTCTCACGTCCCCTTTCTGAAACACTGTGTGTACCGTACATTGTCGAAGACTGATTATTTCAAATGACCCGTTTGGCTTTAAAAATCACTGACATGCCGTTAAATCCGATTAAGAAACTCCCCATTCCATCACACAGGTTGCATGCTGGCTGCTGGATCCGGGCAGCGAGGAGAGGACTCTTCCCAACATGGTGACCGCCTACTGCCCTGAGGAGTTACCTCTGCTGGACGGGCTCGGGAGCGCGCATTCGCACTGTCCTCGAGTCAGGGCGGCGACCGTCAGCGTGCTCGTCCACGCCGCCATGGACCAGCTCACCGGCCTGTTGGAGGAAGATGGCACGCTGGGTAAGAAGAGTTGCTGATGAAGGGGTTTTTGGGAGGTCATTGTTCTTTCAGGAGCACTGTCCATGTCCGTCCATGTCAGATTTCTTCAGGAGAATCGAGATGCCCTCCCAGGTCAGCCTGGCCCTGCTGGAGCTGAACGGCATCGGCTTCAGCGTGGAGGAGAGCGAGAGACAAAAACACGTGATGCAGGCCAAACTCTCCGCCCTGGAGTCCGAAGCTTACAGGCTGGCTGGACACAGCTTCTCCCTGACCAGCACCGACGACATAGCGCAGGTCTTTTTTTTAAGAAAATAGTATTTCATTTTTTTTGTTTAATTGGAAATCTGTCAAGAGAGTCAAACGCACAGCCTGAAATTGTTTGCGGTTTCCCACGCCAGGTGTTGTTCCTGGAGCTCCACCTGCCTCCAAACGGCGACGTGGGCGAGTTGAGAATCAAGAAGACTCTGGGCTACACCAGGAGAGGCGGCGGCAGGACGCGGCTGGGGAAGCAGTTCAGCACCACCAAGGTGCAACCCATTTAATGTTCTGTAGTGGAACAAAGTCAACGCTTTTTGTCACGATCACGCAAGGAGAACTCATGGCATAGTGGAGAATGTTTAAAAAATTTTAAAAAGTCAGATCCAGTGTAGCGTTTCGCATAGACTGCGTCATCGGTTGGTCCTCTGAGGGACCTTGTTTTATAAGTTCGGTTCTCATCCCACAGTCTCACAACTCAAAATGTAAAACTCAGACTCGAAAACTACCTCGATTTAAGATTCCTGATTTTTTTTTTCTTGTTTTTTTGTTTTTTTTCTCCACCTCAGGACGTTCTGGAGAAGCTCCGCCCCCTGCACCCGCTGCCTGGAATCATCCTGGAGTGGCGGCGGATCACCAACGCCTTGACCAAAGTGGTGTTCCCCCTGCAGAGGGAGAAGCAGCACCACCCCGCCTTGGACATGGACAGAATCTACCCCGTCGCCCAGACCCACACCGCCACAGGTCAGCCGCAGACACGCCCAGCTTTTGCCCGAGTCGCCCTCTTGTTATTTAAAAAAATATTCAATAAAAAAAAACGCATGACATAACTCTGCTTTCAGGTCGAGTGAGCTTCACTGAGCCCAACATACAGAACGTCCCCAAAGACTTTGAGATCCGCATGCCCACTGTGGTGGGCGAGAGCCCACCCTCACAAAGCGGCTCCCACCGGACCACCAAAGCAGGGTGGGTCAAAGGTCACCGCTTTGAAACTTCTTTTGTCTCCCAATGAGTTTTTCAATTATCACATTTGAGAATTTGTAGAAGTCCACAATCCTAAACGACTGGAGGAAATTAAGCTAATCAGCTAAATCCACAAAGTAGTTATTTATCTCCGGTTAGCACCCTTTAATCACAAACAAAGTCACACATTTTCTTTCTTTGTAAGGTCGAGTCCAGTCTTTTTATAAACATTTAGATCCTATTTTTTTCTTTCTTTTTTTTAACCGTTCAAATATTGCTGTTAATAGAATTGAATGGGATCATTCATAACGCCATAGGAAATTTACAGACGTATCTTAAAGTAGCTAAAGACTGCCTAATGCACGTCCTCTGTTAGGAGTAGGAAAGCACTTCATTGTTTAGGTAAATTGGTGTGAAGATGAATAAAGTGCCCAGAAATGAGCGGTTGTTGTAAATATGTTTCAGGAGGAGGAGGAAGTCCTCTGCGCTGCCCCCAGTTACAGCTGGAACTCCAGAACGAGGCCCGTCCTTCTCCGTCAGCATGCGCCACGCTTTCGTCCCTTTCTCAGGTTTGCGATCGAACTCCAGCCGGCCTTTTTGGTGTGGCTTTGTCTTTGTCGGTCACGTTTGTTTGCGCTGAACTGTAGGCGGGATGATTCTGGCGGCCGATTACTCCCAGCTGGAGCTGAGAGTGCTGGCTCACCTCTCCAAAGACCAGCGGCTTCTGCAGGTCAGTGGCGCTGAGCAGGGGAAGGGTTCGAACCCAGCCCGTCAGCAAAGGGAAAGCACCTAACCTGTGTGTGTGTGTGTGTGTGTGTGCTCCCAAGGTGCTGAACGGGGGGGCAGACGTGTTCCGCTGCATTGCCGCGGAATGGAAAAGCATCGACCCGCAGTCGGTGCACGACGGCCTCAGGCAACAGGCAAAACAGGTCCAACACACCAATAACACTACACCAAATCAGTAAAGACAGGGGCCAGAGACTCACCCGGAAACAATAAAACAGTAATTCTTGAAATGTCCAGTATCCAAAATGTTTCGCATAAACTTTTTGGAGCCTTTTATCAAAATGCAACATAAGAAATGAGGATGAGATGTGACTCTTTGGATTTTCAAAGATGAAGAAACTAATATAAATGATGTATTGGTATTTTTTCCCCATCAAATTTATTGATGGAAAAATGTAGAAAGATTTTGTGAATTATAATTTAAAATCTCTTTTCCATGGTAAATTATTATTATTATTTAAATTAAAAAGAACTAATTTCAATCGAAGTTGTTGATTTATTAGGTGTTTGTGGTACATTTTATTTTATTCTATTGCTCAGGTTGAATATATATTTTTAAATTTTGTTGTATGGTATTTTTCTAATTAAAAAAAGGTTTAAAAAAAGGGTTAAAAAAGCAAACTAGATGGACAGAAGCCGGCACACAGACTCTGACTCGTCAGCTCACCTCTGACCGTGTGTTGTTGGGCAGATTTGCTACGGCATCATCTACGGAATGGGAGCGAAGTCTCTCGGGGAGCAGATGGGAGTGGAGGAGGATGATGCGGCCTGCTACATCGAGAGTTTCAAAGCCAGATACAAAGGTACCCAAACCCTGTTTTTTTTACACCAGCAGGCGGGCAACTGTTTTGGTGGCTCTGTGGCAACGGTCCGAACTGCCCCACGCGTCGCCAGACCACAAATGATGGACCTTTCAAAAGCTATTGTTAGGATTGTAACAATACGCCCCCAGTTAACATGGCATTATTGTGTTTCTTTTGCGTCCCCACGCAAAACCTTTGAGTTCCCTCGCAACAGGTTTTGCGTGCGCTGGGGAAAAGATTTGCTTGCCCAAAATCATGCAGGTTATTCATCTCACTCGTTAGTTTGCGTCAGCGTGGACACAATGGAACACCCACACCCTTTGGAGAAGTTTATATGGTTTCATTTTGAGATTGGTCTGCAATATAAAGATATTACTGTGTGACAACCAAAGCCTATTGCGAGGGAACGTAAAAGGGAAAAAAAGGCCATGTTACACCTGGGGGGCTCCATAGGATTGGCTTGTATGTACTAACTTTATGGTTGTTGTTTTGTTTTGGTTTATCACTAGATATAGTACTGGATTTCATGATTTGTTTACAGTTTTAGAATTAGGCTCAGACACTAAACCCATGTGATGTGATGTGAGTTGTACTTCCAAATCCTTCTTCTTTCTGTGAGACAATAGATGTATTCAAGGACAACATTCATGTACACACATTTCTTATATTGCTGGCCTGACCATGCCAGAGGCTACTGGCCAATAAGACTGGGATAGGTCCAGACCTCCTTCTCTACAGGCAGCCCAATAAGATAAATGCCCATTATACCTAGAACTCTAGGGTCTTTTCTGATAGAGATCTTCCTTGAGCTTTGTCAGTTGAGAGCCCAGCTTTACATGAGTACCTGAGTAAACTACACATTTGTACTCATCATTTGTCTGGTTTATTAACCAATAAAAGAAACGTCACATACTTCACTCAAGATATCCCAGCCAGATCTCATAATTAGGTCAGTAAGACCTCAAAAGAAAAATTTCCACAACTGACTATGTTGTGTAACGATTAAGTATAGAAAAAAAGGAGCAGCTGTGCGTTTAACAACAGTAAGTAGGACCTGTTTGTTTTGATAAGAGTTTAGAAGGTAAGGGACAGCTAGCCAAATGCATTTGATTAAACTCAATGAGAAAAAAGTCAAACCGACTTCTCTCTGTGTGTATTTCAGGGATCAACGCGTTTCTTAAACAGACTGTGAAGAACTGCACTAAGGATGGCTACGTTCAGACGCTCATGGGCCGCCGGAGATACTTAGCTGGGATCAGCAGCACCAACGCGCACGCCAAAGCCCACGTGGGTCAAATCCCAGTGACCCTAAACTCCCTCACGGGCTGTTTTTCATTCCTTCTTTATCATTATTATATTTGAATTCCTTTTAATTCCCTTTCTACACCCTCTGCCGCCGGTCCAGGCGGAGCGCCAAGCGGTCAACACCACCGTCCAGGGCTCAGCGGCCGACATAGTCAAGCTGGCCACCGTGAACATCCAGAAACGGCTGCGGACCACGTACCCGGCGGTGCCGCCGTCCCACCGCCACGCTCGCACAGGTGAGTTCAGCCGGCCTCTGCCGCGTTCAGAAGGAAAACCTCTAAACTAACCGGAGCAAACATGTGACCGCGGCAGGCCCCGGGCGGCGCAGGGCCGGAGCGGCCCGGCTCAGGGGGGGATACTTCGTGCTGCAGCTGCACGACGAGCTCATCTACGAAACCGCAGAGGAGGACGTCATACAGGTGTGTGTGGGGTGGAGCTGTCTCTCTATTACAGGGGGACACATCTGTGGACCCGTGCATCTGTTCACGGTTTGTCAACCAAACTCTCCTCTGTCAGGTTGCACAGATCGTGAAGAGGGAGATGGAGTCAGCCGTCAAACTGTACGTGAAGCTAAAGGCCAAAGTCAAAGTGGGATCCAGCTGGGGCAACCTGGAGGACCTCGATATATGAAAGGCATATTTGTTTTGAATTGCTGCTTTTTAATGGATAGAAATACCATCATGTGCACTTTTTTTTTTTAAAGACGCCACGACACAGACTACTATGAAATGTAAAATAGTCTACAGCAACTATTTAAGACTTACCAGCATACGGCTTTATGACATGTATAATATATCATCATAATTCCAGGATGTTAGGTGTCTGTGATAAACAGAAAACAGATTTCTTCTTGTATTAAAAAAAGAGTCTCAGGCAGTTATAGTCTTGAAGAAATCTTTGAATTCTCACATTTTATTGGACCATTGCTTGAGCTGGTTGCCACGGGAACATACATCTTTTACAATGTCTCAACACTTTCGACGCTCACTGCACAGGTATTGTGTTTTTTTTTTTTTAAATATGGCAGATATTTGCTGAAGCAAAGCGCACCACCTCCGCGCGCGGCCAGAGGAAGAAGCAAATGGCGAGGAAGCGGCTCGTGCGACCTCAGTTTGGACCGTTCGGCTTCGGGCGAGGAAGCTTTTATCTTTCCCCCCTAAGCTCCGACTAACCCGAACACAAACTGAGCTTAAAGATTCCTGTCTAAAAAAAAAATGTCTTAAAACTACAGTCGTTATTTGGGGCCCATCGGTGCTTCTCAAGCCCGTTCGCGGCCTTTAGGGCGACTAGCTTGCCTCAGTTAACGCTCATGATAACTAGTTTTCATTAGTTAACCGGTGCAATGAAACTCAACTGAGCTCATTCACACGGACTCAGCTCGATGGGGGAAAAAAATAAACTAAAAAAGTCATATGTAAATAAATACAGAACAGACATACATCACTAAGCAGATGTGATAAGTGTGATCCCAGATGTTGGCTTCTCCTTGTATTGAACCAGTCTTTAACTTAGTCCAGTTTGACCCAATGATTCACTCATTCGTTTATTTATTTTAAAAGCATAATGTGTTCCATTTGTCAGTGCAGTAACTCAATCAAGGAGTTGGTAAGCTGCGTTCAGGCGTCTCCTGCTAGTAGGACACAGATCAGACGAGGCGCGATGTGATTTAAAAAAACAGCTTTTCCTACATGCAACTGCTCCGGTGATAAAAGCATGTTTTTTTTTTTGTTTTTTTTATCCATGACGAAACGTGAGCAAAAATGAACGACCGTTTGCACGCACAGTGATGCCGAGTCTCTTTGGTGGGTTTCGCCACTTTCCACGGACCAGCTGAGCCGTTCGGCCGCGCCATGTGTCGATCTGTTGCGATGAGACTCGATCGAGACATCCTGAGAAAGGAGGTGAGCGGATGGCTGCCGACTTAAGAGTGTTTGACGCGCCAGACTATCCTCCACACACACACACACACTCCTCTTTCTCCTTTGGACGAATGGATTTTCGAAAAAAAAAAGGGGCGAGATGGGTTGCGCGTTGAGGGGAGAAAACTGTTCCTTTTTCCTCTTTAAGGCTTACAGCCACAAACAAACGGAAATAAAATAGAATTGATTGTTTTTAAGGCATCAACACAGGCGGAGCTGTGCGTTTCACCAGAGTACAAAACAGAACAGAGAAAACAAAAAAAAATATATGTACAGAGGTACAATAATAAGTGCTACTCAAGCAGCCTTTGTGTTCCATCAGGCAAGAACATCTGGGACCACTTGTGCCCCCCCACACTCTAGCTCCGTGAAGTGATTGTGCTGGGACCAGGAGCCTTTATGATCCTGCAGGATAACTCTTGGCCATGGCCTATTTTTTCTTTTTCTTTTTTTTTTGTTTTTCCTTCTTGAAACAGTTTACATGAAAGATCGTACATAAGGACACGTGAGGTTTCAAGATGGCGTCTGGGGGAGCCGTCAGTGCGCCTTGTCTTCGGGGCTGAAGTGGTACCTGACCGGAGGGCCGGGCAGGTCCTCGTCGCCGTCCGCCTCTGGAGCGAACGACACCGTGAGGTCGACGTAGCGGCGGTCCGCCAATGGCTTGATCAGCTTCTGCATCCTGTGGGAGGCAGAGGTGGAACTCAGCTTCAGGGGTGGGAAAGATTTCGGTTGCGAAGGAGCGAGGAGGATCCCGCCCTCCCCCCGCCGTCTCAATAAGTGGGGCTTTGTATCACGGCAGGAAGGATTTTTTTAAATTAAAGGGGAAGAGGCACTTACGTCAGCTTCAGTCTTTTGGAGTGTCCAGGCATCACGGGCACATAGAGCATCTTCACACCGTGGACGACCATAATGGGTTCGATTCCGTACTTTTCCTGCAAAAAACACGTCAAACCATCATCTAAAACTCTCCACAGAAAACCAGGGTGGAGCAAATTGATGAAGAAGGTGTTTTACACAGACTGGGTTAAATACTCCAGTATAATCCAATCCAATTTTTCTAGAATTCCTTTGGTACAAAAATAAAAGCCCCTCCCTTTTATTTTGAAAGGAATAAATGGCTCATATATTTGTTTTCCCCTTTTATTTATAATAAATTATAAATAATTTATAATTATTTTGTTTCCATTGGAAATGGGAACAAAAAATCGGTGAATGCGATGAGGGCAACTGAGTAGTGTTCATGACTCCTGGCAAGGGACAATTCTGCACACCTTACAGACCCTCGCATTAGAAAAACTAAAACTGTAAATATGTTCCTAAGAACTGTGACGTTTCCGGATGAAGAAAAGATTTAAACTCACCCTGACTGCATTCATGAAGTCAGACAGAGTGAAGTCCTCGTGGCCAAAGATGGTCCAGCAGTCCCAGATGGTGAAATAGATGTTATTTCTGAGAAAGAAAACAATTATGGGACCGTCTTACACACACACATACAAATATCACATTGCTGCCTTTATAGTTAAACCTTAAGCGGTTTGGTTGTGATGGGAACAGATCTGAAGTTTTCCAGTGCACAGAAGTAAAAAACCGACCTGATGGGTGTCCTTTTCACGGCGGCCGTTTCCGACAGCACGACGACTGGAATGGCCAAGTTAAAGAAGCAGTTTTTGAATGACTCAAACTCGTAGCCTCCAACCACTTTGATCAGCTCCAGAGAGACCTGAGTGAAGGACAAAATGTTACCATGAAGGCTGGAGTTAAGCACAGGGAACATTCAGAGTGACTTCCCTCCGGAACACAATGCATTTCTACAAAGAAAAAAAGAAATCAAAATCCTGACGATGTGCTGATGGTGAAGGGAACTAAATGTAAACACTTCAAATTAAATCTAAACAGAATAGAAAACATAAGCTGGACTGAACCGCTCTCACCAGTCCGGCCACAGCGGCTGTTGCCGTGGCGATGGCGGGGATGATCTTGCCGGCGATCCGTTTGGTCTTTAGCCGGTCGGCTGGCTGGATGGAGTACATCCTGGCTCTGAGGGAGGACGCCGACGTGACGAAGTCTATGTGGCCGTTGTCGTCGTCGTCCTTTTCAAAGAGGAGGGGGCTCATCCGTAGCCCCGCTGCAGTGGGAGGGGAGGGGGGGGGGGGATTCATGATTAAACATGGTTTTCCAGTCTAGCCTCACAAACTAAACTGGACAGAAAAAGGCAGCGGATGCGCCAAACATTCAAACACACACATCTGATTTAAACCCCGCCCATGTGGGGGCGTTCCCGTACCTGCTGAGGCCCGGTCGGCGGCGATGGCTCCCTCCAGCTGCGCGATGGCCTCCCTCTCCTCCTCGCTGCTCAGAGGCATCTTCATCTGGTCGGGCTTCTTCACCGACTCGTCCGTCTCTATGCACTGACAGATCCGGGCCCGTCAAAAAAGCACTTTTCTTAAAGTCTCAAATCGGAAATCGGAGGCTAAATCAAAGTCGGACACCAACTTTTTCTGTGGGTCTGTACTCCGGGATCTTGAGATCTGAGAGGATGCTTGCCACCGCCTCTTCGGTGAGATCCTGACAGAAAAAAAAAAAAAAACAGCACGGTTAGTGTGTGTGATGGCACGGTTTTGACAGATTGCACGCAAGGGAAGTGGACCTTAGTACCTTTTCTGAGTAAGGGATGTTATAAATCCCGGCAAAGAGCCGCGCAATACTGATGATGAAGGTGAAGTGCCTGGTGGGAAGAAGATTATGTTTGGACGGGAGAAATGGAGCAAAAGGAATGAGCTTAAAGTGAGCTTTAACACGAGCGCATACTCACAAAGAGTCTTTCAGGTCAAATTCAATGGGTGCTGGAGGTCTTTTTGGCGACTGCCAAAATAAACCTGTGGAGGGGCGCAGAGGACCGTCATGTTGTCGTCACGCATTATGAGCCATTGTGTTACGATCCCATTAACTTTAAAGGGTAACTTACTTCCATCCTTTAACCTTGTGTCCAGAGGAAAGCAGTGCAGTAGTTGTAGGGCCTGAAGAAAAAAAAACAGTAAATGTACGTTTTTAGGCAGCTGACTCCGCTTTAGCGTTATTCAATTTTTCTTTAGTAAAAATCAAATGACCTTTCTCTTGAAGTACTTCTCAAACTTCAGTCGGGCCATAGCGACGCACTGCTCCCACCTGCTGGGCCGCCTGCTGAGCAGCTTAATGACCTGGAATGATCCCTCCAGGCTTTCCCCCGTCTGCATCCTCTGCAGGGACACACACAAGCAGCACGGGAGGGTTTTTACAGGCATCTCAAAAAAACAAAAAAGTGAGAACGTTTGTGACGAAGGATCTTGGTACCTGGAGCACCACCTCAGCCGAAGGGTGCATCTGCCAGAAGGAGTTGTACATGGAGGGCTTGTGGAAAAAAGCACTCTCAAACTAGACGAACGAAAGGGGGAAATAAATTAATAAAAAATAAATACACGAAGCAGGATTCGTCACAATGTGACGACAACTAGGTGCAACATGCACAAAAAAGGCTGCTTTTTAAACCTTGTCTCTGGCCCACTGGATGGTGTGCTCTATAACAGACGGGAACGACTTGAGAGTGCAGAATGGGATCTCCTCTTCTGGGGGGTCCCGCTGGAGGCCAAAAGCATAGATATCAATGGATGATAACAAAACTAAATAATTCAGGAACCTCATAGATTCTTATGCTGGAAGAACAAAAAAAATACCAATACAAATATTGCCAGAAAATGTTCCTTTCCCCTCCCCATAGACTCACATGGCTATTGTAGGACTCTGTCAAGTTCGGCACAATGATCTCTGTGTGTCCTTTAGTTCCCATGGTGCCAGAGTCCAGAAGAGGTCTCTGATTGGACACGCAGCGGCTAAAAAAAACGAAACACAGAACGAAAACCTCAATGCCTAAACAAAATTAAGACTGAAAGGGGAAAAAAAGAAGAAGAAAAAAAAAAGAACTGCACAACAGTGATCTTTATGAATTAAGAAGCTTAGATGACATGGACACAGTTGCTCTCGCTGCATATCGTACTCTGAATTCGAAGTTTGGAACGTGGACAGTACCTGTCCACGTAGCGGCGCGCCTCCACGTTGTCCAGAGCAGTGACCACCACGCCCTGCGAGGTGTAGAAGGCGTCGCTGTAGACGCTCTCGGTGGCCGGGCACACCTTGTGCAGGCGGGCGTCGATCTGCAGGTCGGGGTTGATGTCGTGTGTGGCGTCGGCTGCTGTGGTGCTTTTTGGCTTCTGTGGTCGGAACGGAGAGGGAAACATTGAAACAGAAGTCGGGCCGCTTTCGGCCAATAAGAGAACCACGAGTGCGCGGCGGGGCTCACCTGGATGTGGTGGGGCCTGAAGAGAAACTGCCGGTTGAGGTTGGACTTCTCTATGAGGTCTGGGTCTGTGATGCACACCTGAGAAGTGGAATAAAAAGCCGAGTAAATTCCATTAAATTTCGCCTCACTGATAGCCGAACGGCGTGTCTGAAACAAACGGAGGGGACTCCCACCTCTCCTGAGCTCTTGGACAGTCCCACCCCGAGCAGGGCAAAGTTTTTCAGCATCTCGCAGCCTATTGCACCACAGCCGACCTTCGGGGAAGCGATCACAGCTCGTTTCAGATTACATCCAAGTCATGACACTGGCAACCTTTTTAATGTCTGACTTTATGACGCTGGCTTAATTCCGATTCCTACCATGAAAACCTTGAGCGCTTGCAGGTCTCGGCACATCGATTCTCCGATGCAAGCGCGTAAGGCATCGTATCGGTCGCCTCTGGGGATGAACTCCTCCACAGAGAGGGCCTGAAGAGGCCTGACTACTTCAATGGTGTCAAGGTAAAACTTAACGCACGAGAAAGGAAGGCAGAGAAAAACACACCGTCAACACTTTGAATAGAAAATGCCCCTCTTTCATAAAAAGAAAAGGGGCTGAATACCATTTCAGTGGTGAATTAAGAGTCCTAAATCTCAAGTTTGGCCGCCTACCCATTGCTGCAGGGGTGCAAACTTCCCTGTGATGGCCTTGAGAACTTCCTGACTGGCTATTCCTCCTACGGCAGCAGCTAAGGGTGGGAGGGTTCCTTTGGCTGTTCTGGACAGGCATCGCACCAGCTCAGCATTCACAGGAGCCTGTGAGGAGGGAAGGTGGGGGAAAGGAAAAGGGGAGAGCCGCATTATTGACATTTGCGTCAAGACAAAGATGATGAGATCATCCGTGCAGAAGCGCACCAGCATTATGTTTTCAATATCAAGAGCTTTATTAACGATACTCCCTCCAAGTTTACTCAAACAAAAAAACAGTTTCTGCTCTCTGGTACTATAGGTTGTATGGTGTATATGGCAGTTACCGTCTCAACTGCACATTTGATGGACGATTAAGGAGAAAAACGATAAAGGGAGAGAAGAAAATGAGAGCCTGAGCGGCTTGAAAAAAAAAAGCGTTAGATAGTTGTATTTGAGTGCGTCTGTGTTTAGTATTTATCATACTATGGTGCAGTTTTTGATAATTGCTGATGCATGCTAGCTGCAAAGAACATGGTGCCTGGTCTCTAGCAGACTTAGCATCACTATAAAATGCCATTCACTGTAACATTTGTACCCCGTCACAACCTAAAAGAATTGTGCACCGATCCTCCATCAAATCCTGCCTGTTCGTGCTGACTCAGGGTAATACTGACATATCAGCAATAAAAGCTTTTTTGTAAAATATCTGTGATATTCAGAATACAAACCAAAAAAGCTCCTTCGACTCACCTTGTTCTTTAAAGTCGCGTTGACTTCTTCAGTCAATTTCAGTAAAAGCTCAGCATCCTGTAAACACCTGAAGGAGTCAAAGCAAAAACGGATCAAGACGTTGGTAGTCCTGTCACGTTTCAGAAACCACGGCGAGGCCCGATTCTGTGCCCTCAAGGGCTGCCCGAGATACAAAATAAACAGTTGTGCTGTAAATTCTGCTCACCCAACGTTGGGAAGTCTGCAGTTCTGCTCCTGAAAGGCGTCCAGAGCCACCATGGCTGCGTGGATCTGCAGAGGAGCCTGATGGATACATTCAAAACAGGAGTTGGACAAAAACGGCCCCAAGTGTTTGCCTCGGTTAGATCCAAGAAAAAGCAGATGATTTTTCCACTTGTTTGTGTACGTGTTTACTATTTACTTTCAAACGGTGTCACTGAGCTTGGGAGAGCTGACCATAGTAACATGCCTCTGATGAGAACCAGATTAAGTATGCTGGATAACCCAACGTCAGCCATTTAACAACCTTCTTTTAACTCACCTCTGGTTTGCTGAAGTCTGGAATCAGGACCTGAGGATCACAAAGCTGTTGTTCTAAAGTTTCCTGGAAAAAGAAAAGGAGATATCCATATGCGCAGTCAGCATAGCTTATCTGAAGTTCTATTATTTTTTCCTTTCCCAAACTGAGATATTTTATTCAACTTACAAATTTGTATGTCTTAGGGGTTTTCACCAGTAGAAAAAACCCTCCGTGCAAATATGGTTGGAACTGTGACGTGTCTCCGATTGAAAAACTGTAAGGGGAAATGACTGGCACAACGAACACAAAATGGGACAAATGTCATCTTTTCTGATATTAAATGGAAAGAATCTCCATTTAGACGGAATGCAATACCTGAAACCTGTCGTGCGGTGGCGTTGAGCTCCGCCATGCCCACCACCTCTCTGAAGATTACACTCTGTCCCGTCTGTAGACCATGAGGCTGGTTGTCCATACAGGTTACAACTCCAGGATTATCCTGAAAAAACAAACACCCAAAACGCTTATAAGAATGGGTTTAGTACAATGATACATTAAAAAAAGAAAAAAAGAAATCAAATACGAAGTGCAGATCCAAAAAAATCTTCATGCACACATCTATAACTCTTTAAAAAATGGAGAGAAAAAATGAAAGGCACCCAAAGGTGAACGGAGGACCATCTGTACATCATATCAAATTGTTCGCTGGATCCTTTTAGGGGTACTGAATGTGAGGGACTGAGGCCTACCTGTGATATACTTTGGATGAAGATCTCCTTTGGTTCTTCTCCTGTGGGATCGGACACTTCAAACTCCTCTCCAAAATCACAAAACACTCGAACACAGATGCCGTGCGAGTCACAGCAGATGAACTGCCGGAGAAAGAATGAAGACAAAAACAGGGCGAGCGGTTTGATCAATAAACAGCCAAACGCTTTGCTTGGAGAATGTGAGTGTTTCCATCCTTTTGGCTGATCTTGTGTAACAGAAAGACAGCGGGGATTGCAAACTTACTCTGATGGGAGGCTGTTGTGAGTGGCAGAACTCATTTACCCTCTTCAGCAGGTTTAAACTGACCTCTGTCAAAATTACACACTGCAAGAGAAAATACAACGGACACCAAACATTAACCACAGTTAGCAACAGCAAGGGCAGAACAACACTGCTTTTTAACTCAGGTCACATTCAATCTAAACTCTAAACCCATTTTAAACACGTTATAGCATTGCATTGAACTCAAATTAACTGCTGCATCAAGACTTTGTGTTGATGCTCCAAAGATGTTCAATTATAAGCAGAAATGCTGCTATTAGAGAAAGCAAATGTGTTTTTTCCATGCATAACATCTTAGATCTATTGTAAAACTACTGTAAATAGAAGCTTTCTAATAAATCTCAAGGTTTGGGTGCTTCCCTAGATATTTTGGAGACATTGGCAGGGACCAGATTCGAATAGGCATCTGCTTACCTGATACTTTCTGAGAAAACTGAGATCGGTATTATCGTCAAGAGGGGAGGAAGACATCTCAACCTGAACATAGGGGTTCAACTCTGCGACCCGAGGACACACTGCTTCTACCCTGTGACAGCAACATACAAGCCTAGGTTAGCATATCCAAGACCTGAATGATAGGCAAGCCAAGTGCTTACTGACTATTTAAAAAACAATCCCCATATACAACAAAAACTCAAACTTGAGGATCTCTCAGTTTTTCTCTGATATGGCTTTTCTTGACAGTATTGTTTTGTTTTTAAACTACGATAAATTTGATAAGTATTAAAGTTTACTTTAATTTCCCACAGTCATATAGCAATGTAATTCATACACTCAATAAGGCAATGTCTTTTGGAGGATTTTTTTGTTGCTGTCCTTTCTGAGCCTGTCACTTTATGGTCTCTTTTCCTTTAGCAGTCCACATATCGGCATATGAATCCCATAGCTTCACTGTGAGGCCTGCATTACCTCCTCCGCTGGCTCAATACATCATCTTTGCGGATAAAAAAGTTGAGGCCAAGATCCCAGGTCTCACATAGCTTAGTGTCATGAAGAGTAACCGCCTGGACACAGAACACACGAGTGCAAAGATTAGAGGGCTCTATGTGCAGGATGCTTAAAAAAAAAAAAATCACAACATGAGTGAAGCAAGCCTACCTTCACACCAGCAAGGGTGATATTCTTTGCTGTAAAAACAAAATGCTTGGTTTCACATCGCACTTAGTTAAGATATTTGGTATTAAATCTAAAAAAATAATGTTGAGCTAAAATGTGTAGTATCCTTACCAATCTCTACCCCCAGTGCTCCCATCCCACTGAGAAATACTGATGACCGGGCCATCTGGTGCATAGCACAGTCTCCAAGCACATATCGCTGGCGACTGGAGGGAGGGATGAAGGAAGTATGTGGTGAGTAGTATTGAAGAACAACAAGTGCGCTGACTGGCATGCAGAACAGCTCTGTCATTTCCTGTGTTGACTGTCAGACCTTGATTTCTGTGATTTCGGGTTCACTGATTCATCTATAAGATTGCCACAAGATCAACTTACCTGTAAAGGGAGTCATCAATCTCCATCAGGTCTGCAGCCATACTGGGAAGGGAAGGGGGGGTTCTGCAGTCTCACTGATAGCAACTCAGCCTAATAAAAACATACACAGACAGCAATGAGTCCATGGCAGAAATGATTTAAACCAACGCCCTGCTGTATGTTAGCCATATAGCTAACAAACTATTAGTGCCGGCTAGTTGACAGCTCCGCGAAACTGCTGACCACACAACTATAAGCGGTGGGACAGAGGCTAGTAACCACTGACTGTCAAATCTCATTACAAATGTCACATAGAAATAAAATAGGTCGAGCTGGTTAATGAAGCTGCTGAGGAAAGCTCATTGCTAGCAGCTACAGCTAGCTAGCAATGAGTGCCACTACTGCCTGGTGCCGGTGGTCAGGAAACTCGTGAACTAGTTAAAAGTGATGACACATATGTTAGGCCACAAAAAACTCGCCACATAATCCAAATGATGTAGATAAAATAATGTGCACACGCAAAAATGTTGAATATCTTGTTAATGTTTTTAAAATGTTGCTAAACACTCTACGTAGATACCTGACAGTTGGCGAGACGGCTACAGCGAATGAATGGCTCTGACTGGCTGAAATCTCGAACTGTTTCCGGGTTACAATAATCACATGACCAACAAAAACCAATTATATCATAGTGACTTTTTGATTTTTTTTTGTTTGTCTTCTGGCGTTTTATATTAAATAAGGCCAAACTTAGAAAAGCAAATAAATCCATAAAAAAAAAGGAAAAAAGAATTAAGGGAATTTCAACTAAAAATGTTTAGATGTTGAATTCAGATTAATTCATCCATCTACTCTAACACATCCAGCATGTAGTTATACAGGAGGTTTAAAAAGAAAGAGAAATATAGTGAGTTAGACACGTGTGGATCGTACAATTCGCGTGATACTGAAAACTTTGATATTACAAGAGGTGAGTTCACTTAAAATTATGTCTGAAAGACACAAAAATGAACTGTTATTTAGATATTCTAATGGGATTTTAGGTCTGACACTATCCCTATTTAACAGGAAGGCGTGTTTCTTTCAGTCTGAGGACAATCATTATCATGTCGCCAATGTTTTCAATACAATACAGACAAAGATATTCGTTAGAACATTTAAACGTCAACCTTTGAACAATCATGATCGCTCAGTATTGAATAGATATGTACTATGCCTTTGTGCTGTGTCGGAAATCTGTGCTCATATGTTTGACCTTTCCATAATATAAAGCTTTACATTGCATAACTACACTTTTAGGGATCCAGAGAGATTGCTGAACCGGTCCAAGCTGGAGACGCAGATCAGAACACCTGGTGTTTCACTGTTTAAAGATACAAAGGTCAACGGCCAAGTGAAACATTTACATCTGGCTCCGGTTCTGGATGGTGATACATGAAAAACACCAAATTATTCCAGTATTTGAGATATTTCTGTTTGTCTTTGTGAGTTTGTGTTGTCCTTAATCTCTTACTCTGTTGGGGAGATATTTGGCTTGAAATGCCAACAACAACAACAACAAAAGAAATCAAAATTTTCCCTTTTTCCAGTCAAAAACCGACCTCAAAAGATTTTGTGTCTTGTTTATCTGGGAACGCTATCCCTCACCTTCAGACCAAACAGGCCCCCTCCCTTTCATCATATTGGTCAAACGCATACAGGAACCTCCCCCTGAAGCGAGGCCAGGACTGTGTGCGTGCCTGCAGCAGACTCTAAACTCCAAAGTACTCCACATTCATCCCCTGCAGTTTTCCCTGCTCTTGGCAATGTGGAGCTGTCACATGGCACTGCGTCGGCTCCAGAGGATTGCTGCTCCTTTGAATATCGCCGGGGGTCTGACCAGCAAAGCTCAGAGAGAGATGTCCTCCCTATCAAGGGTGTACGTCACCCGACAGATCCCACCCGAGGGCCTGAAGATCCTCAAAGAATCCGGACAGTGAGTCAGAAAATGGTCGTTCTGTGGCATTTCGAACTTTATTTCAAATGAAAACGCTTTAAATGATTAAAGGACTGGGCCGGTGCAGCAAATTTGACGGGATGTACGCACAGTTCGAGCTGTGCTGTGTTCAATATGTACCCTTGAGTTAATGTTTGGCAGTAGCTTGGCTAGATTCTGAACTCTTGTTTGTCTAAAAGGTATTCCCTCGCTTTGGGATTAATATGCCACTGGTTTAGATATTCTGCATCAAACTAGGAGTTTCATCTGAGTCGTTATTCTGACGAATACTTCTCTCTTAGGACATAGCCGATTAGTTTCAGACCCTCATTTTGAGCTCGTTTCTCCCTCAGAGTACAGTTTGAGCTGTGGGACTCGGACGATGTCCCAGTTCCGAGGAAAGAGCTGCTCCAGAAAGTCAAAGGCGTCGACGGTCTGCTCTGTGTGCTGACGGAAAAGATCGACAAGGAGTTGCTGGATGCTGCAGGTGAGAGGACAGTCCCCGAGTGAATAGGTCAACTTAAATTCCATGAACTGTTACTCAGTCTATTTTCTATGTGTGTGACGTCCTGTAGGTCCAAACCTGAAGGTCATCAGCACCATGTCTGTGGGTTTTGATCATTTGTCTTTAGAGGAGCTGAAAAACAGGTGGTTCCTGTCTTTTTTTTCTTTGCCTCCATATCAGATTTTCCGTTTGTGGTTGTTCAAAGATAAGGCTGCACATTCAAACATCCTGGACAGACCTGGATGTGTGACGCTGTGTGTTTCCCCCCCCCACGCAGAGGAATCCGTGTGGGTTACACCCCTGAGGTTCTGACCGACGCTGTTGCTGAGCTGACTGTGGCTCTGCTCCTCACCACCTCCAGGAGGCTCATCGAGGCCACACATGAAGCCAAGACGTAATGTCTAACACACCACAAACACACCACGCCACCGATTGCATCTAACCCTTTTTCATCTCTGACTTGTTACCAGCGGGGGTTGGGGCACGTGGAGAACTCTGTGGCTGTGTGGGTACGAGCTGGCCAACAGCACCGTGGGCATTTTCGGCCTAGGAAGGATCGGTGCGTCAAGCACGAGAACTTTGGGAGGTCACTACTAAGGGACTTTGTATAATATCTTTGTTTTCTTCTTCTATCTGTGTGTGTGTGTGTTTGTGCCCCAAGGTGTGGCTATCGCAGAGCGTCTTGCACCTTTCAAAGTGAAGAAGTTCATCTACACAGATGTGGCCCCCAGACCTGAGCTGGCCAAACAGATCAATGCAGAATATGGTGAGGAAAACCACTTTATGGTCGCTCAGTTTGTTATCCGGTTATGTGGATGGGAGATAGACAAGTTTACCGCACTGGCTTGTGTGCTATCTTGCAAAAGATACACCGGCGCGATTGGAATTAGCTAAATGGCCAAAAGTAACCGCTTTAAATGCTATTTAATAATAGTTTTTCTGATTCTGTCGCTGGCTCTAGTGTCGATGGATGAGCTGACAAAGCGGTCGGACTTCCTGGCGATGTGCTGCGCCTTAACACCGGAAACAAAGGAGATCTGCAACAAGAACTTCTTCTCCAAGATGAAAAAGACCTCCATCTTCATAAACACGAGCCGGTACCCCCTCCGCAAACAAAATAGAACACAACTTCCAACGGCTTCAAACATCTTTTCAAGCAGACGGCCTGATGACAGATATCAGCTAACGTTCAATGAGATGATACACTGACAAGGGGGTTCATTTAGAGTGTTTTAGCATGAATTGATATGATTGACTTTCTAAAAAGATAAGAACACAATCAGAAGTGCAGGACCTGTGATTGTTGACCAGCGTGTGCTTTCTGTTGTGTTTCGTCAGCGGGGGGGTGGTGAACCAGGACGATCTGTACGAGGCTCTGTCCACCGGTCAGATAGCGGGCGCCGGACTGGACGTGACCGTCCCCGAGCCTCTGCCCACCAGCCACCCGCTGTTCACCCTCAAAAACTGCGGTGAGCTGCTCTGACACTCACATCGGTTGCTCGGCTATCACCCATTCACCGCCCCTTTTTAAAAAAAATTGTTCTTTGAATTCTCTCGCCCTGCAGTGATCCTCCCACACATCGCCAGCGCCTCCTACACCACCCGGAACGCCATGTCCGCCCTGGCGGCCAACAACCTCCTCCTCGGCCTGAGGGACGAGCCGATGATCAAAGAGCTCCAGCTGTAAAGAGAAACTGGATCCCCCCCCGCCCCATGTGAGCCGGTTGAGCTCAGAAGAATGAGTGTGATGAAATGAATCCAGGATTTGTAAATGTTGTGCTGCCAAATTCACAAAATGACAATCGCACCGAGTTTTTTTTGTGGTTTTTATTCAATCCGAACAACAACCGAAACATCCTTTACAATCTTCTTGACCTCGAACAGTAAAGAGACAAAAGCGTCGAACCATCTCATGGTTAACACGACGTGGACTTACACAGAGAGAGAAAGGCTTCCGTTTTGGCAAACGAACCGAAGCCCAGCTTTTTTTTTTTTTTTAAAAAGCTACAGGGCCTAAGGCAGTGACTTTTAGCCTGTGGTATCATCAACACAAAAATCTGATGCACTCACACTGGGTTGGGGGGAGCGGTCAGTGCATCCATGGTCAGTCTGGGCGGATGAGTTAGGTCGCACATTTATCCATCTGTGGTCGTTTTCTACTCTGCGGCTGAACTGGAGCTACTTCACTGCTGAGTATATGTGACAGGTACCAGGTCAGTCGGTCCTTTACAGGGGTAACGATAAAAAAAAAAAAGGCTACTTCGCTTAAATAAAGCGTGTAGTGTCTTAAGTAAATGCGTTACCATGGATACTATGCAGGCTGACAGTGTAAAGACTCGACATTAAGGTGCCGACAGGGATTGAGAGCAGCACCCGATGTCACGACACATCAAGAATACACAATACGAAAAGGCAAACTTTTTTTTAAAATTTACGTTCACTAAAACAGAACTATACAACACTGTTGGAACGACGTTCTTAGTTAAGAAACTCTTGACCAGCTCGAGTCCATCTAACTTACAGAAAGAAAAAAAAACATTTCAAAATATTTGTTTTTGAATGACCAGCAGAGATGATTGATTGCCCGCTTAAAAAAGAGAAAAAAAATCCTAAACTCTTGGCTTTCAGACCCAGATGCAATGTCAGATCAGAGCCACTTTACCACATAATCCTACATTCCACCAAACATATTAGTTACATAATTTGCTTTTGTGTTAGATGCAACACAACATGAACTAGAGGAAACATGTACTGAGCACTTGCAGTACAGTAGGCAACATATAGAAATGTCAAGTGCTTCATGTGTTTTCCTTCAATATTTACATTTCTAAACCCCCCCACCCAAAAGTACGTGTATGACAATCTGTCCAACAACAGCCGTGCGTATGCAAACTTTATCTTCGGTTTTTCTTTTTTGGCCACGGCTTAAATTGTGTGGATATTTTCAGACCATCACTCGCTAAACTCCTCAGCTTTCCTATCACTGGCCACACTGACTGGAGACCCGGGATAAAGCTGAGCGTATTTACAGTGGGGCTTCCACTTCAAGGTAAGCGGCCAAAGCAGAAAGTGAGGAGAGACGGATCGATGGTCATTTCAACGTCTGTGTCACGACTAGAGAGAATTCTCAATGCTGTCCACTGCAATGTTTATTTTGCCTGCTGCTAATAATAAGAACATTTCAAGTTCTTTAGACTAACCAACACTATTGCTGATGGTTGTACTAAAAAAATCTTCTTGACCTGATTTAGGGATTGAATTCAAAATAATACAAACGAATAAAATCCTGCAGACAACATTAAAAAAACAACAAATAAAAAAGTGTTTGTATATATGTGTGTGTGAATGTATGTATATACATATTCATATATATATAAACACACATCCATATATACACACACACACATATATGTATGTGTATATATACATATAAAGTGTTTGAATAGAGTACAGGACTCCCAATAGCTACAGATTTAAGCTTAATTCAGACCTGTCCCTACAGCACCGATTTATCAACCCCCCCCCCGGACATATCGCACATAATTGTGAGTTCTTGGTATCTACACACAAACGGCGTATGGCACGTTAGAGGAATCAGTCTCTTTGCGTGAAGGTGCTCTGAACAAGGCACAGTCAGCATGTACACTACTGCAAGAAGAACACACCCAGGCGCTTTGAGTCCCTTCACCGCTTTCCATTTGTGTACAGCGGGGAGGGCTCGGCGGGGCGCTGCTACATATGCTTTATCTGGATAATGCAAAGGATTCAGCCACAACTTCGTCAAAATTTGCCTCTTGGTGGAACCGAGAGCGATTTGCTTTGGCAGCTCGCGACTTCCACTGTGTTTGCTTTGACACGCGACGCCGCCCACAGCCTTGAAAGCCCATCCTCGGAGACGTATGACGTTTAGAACTTCTCTACGGCGACCATAACACAATAAAATGACCCGAAAGCAGTCTATTCTCCGTTTCCATTCATCCTGCACCGTTGTCTTCTTTTTTCTTTTCCCCTACGACACGAAAGGGTTTCCTAAAAACAAAGAAACTTGGGAATAAGGGCATGTCCCGATGAAGAACGGCTGAGATCACACCGCCATCCCCTTTCTTTGGTCTGCGATCGTGACTTGTCAGTTCGGCCAGAGCAGGTGAGGAGATAAAGAAGTTCCTTCAGAGTTTTTATAAAAATTAAAAAAAATGGCTCCCGCTTTGGGAGTGGCCCTCCTCCCGCTCTGAGCCTACAGCAGAGTGTTGGACATGTTGCTGTTCTGCCAGCGCAGACAGGTGGTCTTGGAGTGCTTGTAGAGGTGTGAGGACTGGCTGAAGCGCTTCCCGCACTTCAGGCAGGCGTAGGGTTTCTCCCCTGTGTGCACCCGGATGTGCTTCTTGCAGTCGGTCAGGGTGAGGAAGGTCTTGCAGCAGATCTTGCAGGCGTACTTGCGCGCCCCCTCCACCACCAGCACGTTGTGCTCGGAGAGCGCCTTCTTGCACTTGGACAGGACGTCGGCGGAGGCCCTGGTCAGCTGGGGGGGCAGGGAGGTGGGCCTGCCGACGCCCATCTCGTAGCCCCCGCTCTCGTTGAGGAGCAGCGGACTGGCCAGGCTGGAGGAAGAGGAGGACGAAGAGGCGACGTCCTGAAGAGCGCCGCCCACTCCCTCTTCGCCCGCCATGCCGGGGGCCATTTTGGGGGCGATGCGCCTGTAGCTGGGATAACCCAGAGCGGCGGCGGTGGCCCCCCCCGGCCCTCTGGAGGAGCGGCCCAGGGAGTGAAGGCCCAGGCTGGATCGCTGGAAGTCCAGCCCGAAGGGGTCCACCCCTCCTCGCCCCCCACCGCCGCCGCCGCCGTTTCCTCGGGGGCTCCCCAGGCCGTCGTGCAGGGGCCGCAGGAACAGAGGATCCGCCTGCAGGCTGTTCCCGAAGCCGCCGCGCCGCTCGCCGTCCAGCGGGCCCGGCTGCAGGAGGGAGGAAGGGGCGGAGCCGGGCGGCCGGACGGCGTCCTGCCTCAGGAGGAAGTGGTGAGCGGCGGCCACGTCTCCGGTCGTGGTGTTGGGGAGGTCGTCCTCCCCGGCGGCCAGCCCGGACCCGCCGCCCCCAAAGTCCTTGGGGCCGAGGAAACTGGAGATGTTGAAACCAGGTTTGCCGCCGCAGCCGAACCCCCCCGCCCTGCCGCCCATGCCGCCGCCCATGCCGCCGCCGGCCTTGAGGAGCAGCTGGGGGCCGGCCTGCAGCAGGGGGCCGGAGCTGGGCTGGGGCTCGGAGGTGAAGCTGCGGTCGCTGCTCTCCGGGCTCAGCTCCACCTTCTCCTCCTCCTCCTCCTGGCAGCCGGGCTCGGCCGGGTCGCTGCCCTCCGCCGGCGACGTCACGTCGCTGTTTTCGTCGGCCGCCTCGGGCGAGCTGAGCGGCTCGCGCTTCACCATCACCTGCGGACGCAAAGAAGACGTTGCCCGGTTGACGACCGACTTCCACTGAGCGTATCCTTAGCTTAGATTTTTTGGGTTAGATGACTTTATTGATCCCGCGGTGGGGAAACCCACATGTTACAGCAGCTGTGCAAGAAAAAATAAAATACACAAGGGCAAAGAGAGAGAAAAACACAAGCCTAGGCGAGGCATCCGTAAAAGTATTTACAGGGGGAGTTTCCAATGTCTGTGACCTACAAATAGCACAACAAAATATTACAAAGTAAGTGATGGACAGATGTAAAAGACAAAAAAAAAAAAAGAAGGAAAAAAAAAAAAAAAAAAAAAAAAAAAAAGCAGGTATAAATAATATAAACCAAATTCATTTTGCAAAGGAAAAGTGTAGATGGCTACAGTGTGACCAAGTGACCAATAAGACCACAACACGATTCCAAAAGTCTAAAGTCATGTGATCGTCAGGCTTTGAATGCGTCTGGTCATCAGTTTACCTTCTGTTCGTCTTCTTCGACCTCTTCTTCCTCCTTGCCCGGTTTCATCTTGACCCCTGCCCTGTTGTCCTGGTGATCCTGGTCGCTCACATCCTCTTCCTTGTTCACGACTCCCTGCATCCTCCCCGAGCTCTCCCCCTCACAGTGTCCGCTGTCTGACTGACTGGGCATCTGAGGGTCATCCTGCTGGGACACCGATGCCAGCCCGGCGGCTTTGGGCTCCAGCTTGGACTCGTCCCCCATCTTGTGGGAGTCGGGCGAGAGGAGGGCTCCGTCCTCCCGCTCCGCGTTCCCCCCGTCCTGCCCCAGCAGACCCAGGCCCGGCGCCGAGGGCCGCGGCCTCTGTCTGGGCCTCTCGTCCGAGAGCCCCGGCGCGAGGGAGGGCTTGCGTTTGTGGAAGCGGCGGATGGGGAAGGAGGCCCTCTGCTCCACCGCCCGGCCGCCCGGCCCGTCCTCCTCCATCCCGCCCAGAGCCGAGCTGACCAGGCTGAGCCCCAGCTGCTGCAGCAGGAAGGAGCGCTGCAGCTTGGAGGTGGCGGCGAGGCCGGCGCTGCTGGCCAGGCTCTGCGTGGCCGCCAGGTCGGCCGGCGGCGGCGGCGGGGGCGGCTGCCGGTGCCTCTGCTGCTCCTGCTGGGGGCGGTGGTGGGCCGGCCGCTCGGACGAGGGGGACAGCGGCAGAGTGCGCGTGGTCAGGTAGTGCTTGCAGGCCTTGACCACGTTGTTGAGGTGCAGGTGGGAGGCGGCCAGCAGGACGTCCATGACGTTGCTCTCCCCCAGCATCAGCGTGGACGTGTACATCATGTCCACCAGGGCGGCGAAGGCTTCGGCCGTCACCACCTGAGGAGCACACAGAGCTCAGGGTCACGTCCCCGGGGGACACACGGGAATCAACCCCCCCCTCGCCCAAAGGCCCAAACCTCGCTGTCCAGCTGGATCATGTTCATGCTGGCGTCCCCCTCGGCAACGGTGAACAGCGCTCTGAAGTGGGTGCTGCAGGCCGCCAGCACTGACCGGTGGGCTTTGAAGTGGCGGCTGCCCACCACGATGACGCAGTCGCACAGCTGGCCGTGGACGCGCTGGTAGTTGAGCTGCTGGAAGATCTGCTCAAAGTGGCCTGGGAAATCCATGGCCCTGCAGACCAGAGGAGCAAGAGGAGGCAAAAATCACAGGAGGGGAAAAAGCAGTTATACATCAGCGTGGTAACCTGAACAAAAGTGGATTGGTCAGTTTCATGCATTTCAGTTATACCGCTTCTGAAGGAGACTACAGGCTGATGTTTGGTTCTGCTGAACTGAGTCTGTCACAGTAAGAAACTTGACCATAACTTGGGTCATCGCAATAATATATCTGACAAGCTGCTTAAAACCAGGAGAAACCGTATGGACATAAATCTAGAGTTAAGATGAAGGTTTTTCCCTGTTGAAAAGCAGTCCACATTCGTTTGATCACTCTGTGATCCGCTGTTGTCAGTAATGGCTTTAAAGCTGTACACTTCAGCTTTTCAATTGGGGCCTATTATTTTTTAGTGGTAGTTTCAAAGGGGGGGGGGGGTCGATGGAGTCGCCGTTAAGTAACATTGTAAAAATAGATCGCCCTGGACCTCGATTAGCTGTTTACAAATACACGTGGCTGGTAATGTAGGTTGAAACTCCGCTTAAAGCCCGGCAGACAGAGCACACCCATCCCCACAGACAGCTAGCAAGCCGATGGTAAACAAATGGTCGCTTAGCTAATTCAAGCGAAGAGACGTACAATATCATTGTTTTTCGAGCACAGAGAGACACCGACATCGATGCGTCCAACATTACCTTCAAATTTCGAAAGAATGTCGATATTAGGAAGCAGAAAAAACTCCCTGTCCAGAAGCTGAAGAGGCTAAATTTAGACGGCTGCGAACTGTCTGCTAGCTACAGCGCAGGCGGCGGCATACGGATCCCTGGGGGGGTGACCCGTTCAGTCCTTTTCGGACTTTTCCACAACAGATAGTCCCGTCAAACGTGGCTTTTAATAGCTGACATCCTTCGCGGTCCACGTCCGTGCCGTTTTCCAGGACAAACGGGATGTTTTTTGGCTGCCGGCGATGCGCCCTATCTGGGAGGCTATTGGTTTTAGCCGACCGAAGCACCCGGTAGTATCACGGCCACCGCGAATTACAACGGACGCTAAACATAATGCTAATGGGAATCGACGGTATTGGCCGCGAGACGCATGTGTTTTCAAGAAATTGCTAACAATTTACCCCAACTCAGACGGTTTTTCCAGCCAGACTCACAGGGTGGCGCTGTGCTTCATTACCACGTCCGCTCGTTGAGGCGAAGCGTGGTCGTTTCGCAGTTTCACCGCTTGGTGTCGCTGTGGTCCATAAAGCTTTTTCTGCCCAGTGCTAAAAGAAGGCAGTGTCACTGTCAATATAGGAACATTCAGTTTGGTGCTGTTTGCTTAAGAACTCCCTCTTCCTACGGCACACCTGTCACTATATATGCACAATAAATCACCCATTTTTTCATTAATCCATTCACACAATAGTATCTAAACTGAGTGGGATGTTTGGCTCTTAATATAAGGTACACGCGTCATTATGGATTTCACGATGTTCATGTTCAACTATCGTCTCTACACTCCAGGGATAACATATATATACTACAGACACTAATAAATTGTCTGTTTTATCGGCTGTCTGTAATTGTAAATAAAGAATCTTTTGTAATTTTTCTTTATTGCTGTTATTCATACTGTTCATAAGTTCAACTGAAATCTAGATTGATCAGAACTGAGATAAGGTGAAATAACATGTTTTAGGATCCAATAATAGCCAAAAACACTTAAACATTCGGACCCCATTTGTGCATTTACTTTTATCTATATTAGTTATGTTAATTAATTCAGCGGATAACCTGTCAATCGGGCTTCAGATCTAAGAAATTCTGAGTTCGTTGCTCAAAATATAAAAAAGTTACTTTTTATCATGTCTGAGACTAAAATGATGTCCTTTAGTTTTAGTTTGAAAACTCTATCTATATTCATTTACAGTCCTAAGAAATGCTCTATGTAAGATGCGCTTAGGTGCTGGACAACAAACAAAAACAATAAACAACAACAAAAAAAAACATCGACGAACACGGAAGTACAGCCCAGGGAGTCATCTTCACTCATAGAAGAGCTCTTTGAAACTGTCATGGCTGCCTCCTGCTCGTTCGTGTGCTGTGGCCAGGAGACGGATTCCGACAAGGCCGTTATTGGTGAATATTTGACTTTTTCACTCTGAATATTTTTTTAAAGACGCCTCTGGTAATGGCAATTAAAGCTGGGCCTTTTAAAACGCCGTCGTGCTGCCCGGCACCGCGTCTATGCTCGGGTCACGTGCGTTTGTTTTGCGGCGTGGACGTTGTGATAACTTGTTCGCCTTTTCTTTTGTTAAATCTCCTACATTCACAGTCCGCTTCTCGAATGGCTGCGTCAAAAATGCAGACAAGCTGGATTTCGCCATGTTCAAGAACGCAGATGAGACTAACCCGAAGAAGAGGAGCAGGCGGATGGTGGTGAGGAGGAGGAGGGACGTGCCTGTTTGTGTTAACATGGTCCAACATTCAGTAACCATTTGTCCCCCCTTTTTGTTGAGGTTGCTGAATCAGACAGGCTGTCTTATGTTGGACAGAACTTTGGAGGAGCGTCTCTGAAATGCAACAGTCTTTGCAAGTGCGTGCCCGTGGTATATTCAGTGTATACTGCATGCTGCTGGTTATTTGCCTGGTACAGACTAATTTTAGCTGTTTGGTGCCTCCACAGATATTATGTCGGAGTGTTGAACAGACAGACCATGGAGATGGAAGTGCACCGAGCCGAGATATTCAACATGAAACCTGTCATTCCAGGTAAAGAGAAAAAAAAACACCTACCAGCGCATACTGAGAGCTGGAATAAAGCACAGCTAGTCGACGTCAGCCCAAAAGATCCTATGGATTTAATTTATCCTGATTCTTCACCAGGAGAGAAGACGGAGACGGAGAAACCTCAAGACGCCACACAGTCCTACAGACACAAGGTATAATGGTGTCAGTGTTTTAAATCACCGTCCCTGAGCGGGGGGGGGAAGAGAAGCTATTGCGGCTCCTCCTTTTTTCTTTTTATTTCTGTTAGGTTGACTCGTTGATCGAAGCCTTTGGCACCAACAAACAAAAGCGAGCTCTGAGCTCCCGCAGACTCAACCAGGTGGGCAGCGACACCCTCCAGCACGCGGTGGCCAAAGCGGCCGGCACCGTGATCGAGCAGAAGGGCCTGGAAGGTGAGCGCCATGCTGGACAAAGAATAGATATACATGTATATATGATAAGAAAAAGGGAAAGCCTAAATATATGTGCTTGAATTGGCTCCTCTTGATTTCATCTCACTTTTTTGCTACTTGTTTCTCTCCAGCTCTTCAACAGGAAGTGGCTGACACGGAGTCCCAGGGAGCTGTGGCCTCCCACCTGCCCCCCTGCGACCCAGAAGCAGACAATCCAGAGGACGTCTACCCGTTCGACCTGCGTATCTTTTTATTTAAAAAATGTCGATTTGGTCTTTGTCGCTGTGCGTTTGTGTGACGTGGAGAGCAGAGGTTTGTTTGTCGTTACCGTTAACTGACTCCCAACAGTCCTGACTCCAGTTGAGTTTGCTGCTTTGGAGGAGGCCGGCGCCAAGCTGGCGGCATCCACCCCGGAGGAGCTACAGAATCTAAAAGATGGAGGGTAAGTAAGCAAAAGTCCCTCCTTTTTTTGTCTTTTTTTTGTGGCTGGGTTCTAATTGAAAGCTGTGCTCTTTACTGAAGGTGCCTGTGCGTGGCTAAATACCTGGAGGACATTGCGACCGCGGGCGAAGCCGCAGACCGAACGTCACGATGCGCCTTTTACCTCCTCATGCTCCTCAAGCTGGCACGGCAGAGGAGCGTCACCTTTAAGTGTGAGTCACGCTGGGTTCTTTTTCTCCTGCGGCCCCACTGGAGAGTTTTGGGTCGGTTAAGAATAGGGGGAGGGGGGACAACAATTTCTGCCAGATTTAAAGAGGGGTGCCATCATTCTGGAACAGAGGGAGTTTTGAAACTACACATTCTTGGTTTCATTTGATAGGTGGACAATAAAACAAATAGTTACTTAACCCTTACTGTAGATTGAGCGATTCAGCCATTGAATTTTGCACAGGCATAATATTGACACATTTTTAGAGATTTGTAAAATATTCAAGTTCTGAGATGTGCAGACTTTTATCGGGACCGTGAAGGCAACACCAACCAGTCTCCTGGACGGATCATTAGTTGGCACTTTGTGTGTGACGGCTGAGGTTATTCTGCACATTGTAATACGCAGCACAAGTTATCTGGTTGTGACTTGTCTCAAAAGGTGATTTATTCATGTAACAATGATGATATTACACTCAGTTACTGTCACATTCAGTGTTCTGCTCGGTCCCTGCAGCGTACGGTGCACATTGGCTCGTCTCTTGGTTTAAAAGAACAGCAACAACTTTTTAGAGCCGATTTGTGTACAACTCAGAAAATGTTGCTCCCTGGAGGATTTCTCTACCGTAATTCCAGCTGCGTTTTAAAAGACACAATTTTTTTTTTCTTTTTCTGAGCTGAAAAATTATTCTAGTTATTCTCTATCTACTATGTATGCATTTTGGATGTCCTGAGAAAAAAACCCATCTTAGTTTGGCCAAATCACAAACAAAATCTATTTGTGCGGCGCAAATGAATGAAGGTTCCCGTGTTTACAACCTTTTATGGATATTAATCCTGACTGGACAGAGCCAGTGGTGGAAGTGCCACATTCAAAGTGAAGGTGGGGTCTGAAGTGAGCTCAAAACCTGCTTTGTACTAATAAAAAAACCCGTTTGTGTGCAGTTGGGAAGGACGAGGGCTGCCCCCGCATCATCCAGACCAAACTGTTCAGGACGTTCACGGTCGAGACGTTCAACAACGGCAGGTACGGCCAGCGCTGCGTTTTGGTGTCGCTTACAGGACCTCGTCGGGCGTCAGACTACTGAACTCCATCCATCTCCTCTCAGGGTCCAGAACGTGGTGTCCACGTCGATGCGGTCCAAACTGGCAGCGTACAGCCTGGCTCTGCTGCTGCACATGGGCCGCATGACGGTCGACCTCTCCCTACTGCACCGCGACCTCGGAATCACCGAGGCCAAGTGAGAAAAAGAGCTTCCTTTTGTTACTAAATGGGGAAAAAAACGAACTAAATAAACGCTCAGCAGGGCCTCGTACTAAACACACCTAGACAAAACCGATGTGCCCTTTTTCTTTCCAGGATGATCGAGGTTGCCAAGTCAATGGGGCTGGCGTTGAAGAAACCGGCCCGGAGCAAAGACAAAGAGGCCGTGGAGTTTGACGGCCACAAACAGGCGTCTCTCGTTCTGCCGCTGGTCAAATACGATCAGTTCGGCGAGAGACGAAAGCGGAAGAAAATGCACTGAAGACCATAAAGGCCATTTAAAAACAGAAAAGGAAAAAAAGACGACAGAAATAAGACCATGAGAAGTGGAAATGTCACAAATGAGAACCGTTTATCTGTGTATTTTGTAGACAAATAAAGTGGCTAACTTTGAGCTATACATGATGTCGTTACTCAATGGTCACAGCTGAAAAAAAAAGAAAGAAGAAAAGCTGACTAATAAGCTGTAAACAACCTCTAGATGACAGAACATCTGGCTTATGTGTATAGGCACATTTGTAGACATCACATATTGCACATGGAACGTGGTTCTCCTTTGGTTGTTACCGCACCGGTCTTTGTGATTGTGTGTCACTCTGCAGCATGTCGACGGCCTTTAACGCCAACCATCGCTCGTCCTACGAGTTCAAAAACTGAAAACCCTTTAGGGGCACAGTACAAAACCGCGGGCTCGTGCGGAAACAGCTCTGTGCACGAGGCGGAAAATTTAACCCCCCCCCCCCTTTTTTTTTGCTTGCATATACGTCCGTTTCCCGTCGCTACAGTCTTTGATTTTACCTTTTCAAAAGTCAAACGAGGCACAGCTTCCCCCGGCTGTGGCTGAAGCCGGCATCTCTCTCCACTCCTAAGGGGACTTTTAATGTGCAGTTAACTGATCCCAGTCCCAGGGGCGACATAGTTCATGGTTAAAAAAAAAAAAAGAAGAAAAAAGATAAAGCTTTAGTGAAATCTGTGGGGAAAAGATTGAACTATCTCACCCTTAAATTTTGCCTCATTCGGAAGAATGCCTTGTTCTTTGACTTCTTGAGACAATAAACTGCGTCGTTTTTGGGAAGTCAGTGCACTCCACTTGGACCACAAGCATGCCATTAAAAATAACAAACAAACAAAAAATGATGAGAAATAGACATGGGTCCACCGGAATCGGCGCTGGTTTGCGTGAGCTCTTGCCGGGTTCACAGGATGGAGCAGAACATGCTGCCGCTGTGGCAGCCGCTTTCTACCGTGGCGCCGACCCTGGCAGTCATGGAAATGCCGAGTCTGGAGGGATACTGGGACGAGGACAGGCCGGGATGGGAGCTGGCCAGTGGGCGAGGAGGGGGGTTTTTCAAAATCCAGGCAGGAGCGGGTGTAGAGCTGGAAAAAGTAAAAGATTTGAGAAAACACAAGTTCCTTTGTGCAGTTACACTTATTTAGAATGACTTTACTTTGCATATCCATCACCAATATTCCCTCCTTGTTTTGTTGTTGTTTATGGTTTTATCTCTTTCTATGCTGAAGGTCCTGCTCTGTTAGGTGCTGACCGTCTGCTGCTGAGCAAAGACCACATGGAGGATTGTTTTTTTTTTTGTCAAATCAGCAGCATCAAAGTACTGCGAAATAAAAAGGCTGCTTTAACATTAAGCTTCAGATTAGGCTTTAAATCTTAAAAAAAAACCCACCCCGGCAAGATAAATGATGCATTTAGGACAAAGACTTGATGAAAGCCTTAAAAGGAGAATCTGTCCATTATCTCACAGCGTTACTGGGGAAACGATCAGCAGACTGTGGTCATTAATCCTCTCAAACCGGTTCCTGAGTTAGTGACACAGCTTTTAGAAGCACGTCTCCGAAGCTACCGAGACTGCGCAGATCGCATCGGTTGAAGGTGTACGGGAATAGAATTTGCACGCCCGTTGGCATCTAAAAATAAGCCGGGAAAGAGTTGCTCACTTACCTGCTATTGTGCCTCAGTATGCTGTTGTTGCACAACACGCAGCTCTCGTTGCCAGGGTCCATGTGCAGCAGGGTTTTTTTGTTCTCTGGGTGGCCCTGGAACAAGATGTTATCATGCACTGCACCTTTTACGGGCCCCAGCAGAGCAATGCCACAGCCCTGTGCGGGTTGCACGCGATTGCGCACTATCTAAGAAAAGAGAAGAAAAAAAAAAGAAGACATCTTTATTTACACTGTAAATGAGCTGAAGTAATGAGCAAATTCGGCCGATTGCATATGAGGTATGTGTAATCCTACGCTTATGCCTTTAGTCAACATTTCCTTTCAAGAAGAGACTGAAAATTCTCACCTTGACATCCGTGCTTGCCGACACCTGGATGCCGTATCCAGTGTTCCCGACCACGTCGTTCTCCACGATCTGCCCGCTGCCGCTGAACCGGACGCCGTGGCCGCCGTTGTCGTAGACGCCGTTGCCGCGGAGCTCCACCCGGCAGTCCTTCTCCACCGTCACGCCGCCGCGGCTGTTTTTCAGCACGCAGTTGGTCACCAGCCGGGTCAGCTGGCTGCTCTGCAGCACGGCCACGCCCAGGCCCCGGTTGCCGTTGACCAGGTTGGCGAACACGTTGAGGGCCTCGCTGCTCTTCACGTACAGGCCCACCGCTGCGGAAACAAAAGGCGGAGAAGGGGTTGGGGGGGAAAGGTTTGAGACACAGAGCCGGTGTTTGAATCCGACTGGACGGGACCGGTCAGCACCTCCGTTGTGGCTCACGCAGTTGCCCTCCACCAGGGCCACGCTGATGGAGCGGCGAGCGGAGTGGCGCTCGTCCTCGCTGTCCAGGTCGCTCTCCCAGGCGAACAGCTCGCCCTCTTCGTTGAAGTTCTCCTGTCCCTCCCGTCCCTCTCCCTCCACCCCCCTCCTCTCTCCGACGCCGGCATCTCCGCCGACCCCGTCCTGACCGGGCCAGCTCCCCTCCCGGGACTCGACGCTCCCCGGGTCCTTCCGGCAGAACACCGCCAGCCCGTACATACAGTTATGGAGGATGTAGTTTCCCAGGAGCTGCGGGAGGCTGGACGACATAACCCACACGCCGCAGCCTTTATTACCTAAAGAAATCAGACGTGTGAAGGTGAGCCGTGATGAACCAATCACATCCCTTGCTGCTGCCACTCTGAGGCCGAATTGACCTACAGTAGACGTGGTTTCCCTCAATGAGGCCGCGCCCCCTTTCTCCCACCACCACTCCGTCTGAGTAGCCGTGGCAGATGTAATTGTTCCTCAAGATGGGGTCGCCTCCTCTGCGGATGTCCACGCCCCCCCATTGGTTCTCCCTGATCACGTTCTCTGGAATAAATTCCAATGAATCATTACCCATTTCAAATGCCGTCACGTGCACATGCTGAATCCAACCGTAGTGACAGATGATTTAGAGTGAAGGGGGGGGGGGCTGCGTTACACACCTGTTATCACCCCTCTGCCATTCTCATTTATGGCAATCCCTGCTGCCTGGCCCTGGAAGATGTGATTACCGCTGGGGAAGAAAAAGTAAAACAGGAGAAGTGCGTCACATGCTAAAGTTAAGACGTAAAGTTAAGAGAAAAAAAGGCAGTCTTATTAGGAATGAACGTGTAAAAAGTAAAAGTATTCAATTCGAAATATGGCACGGCGGTCTCCGCTGAAAAACCCTGCTTTTGATTTTCATCACCTAGATCATTTTGTCCACCCGTGAAAACCCTAAGAAAAAAAATCAAAACCCCACCCCAAAAAAACAAAACCCACAGGGAAGTGACGAACACTGAAAAATAGCCAAATAATGGCAAACCGCTGGGTCGACACCATCCCAGGCGAGACCCCAGCTCACCTCACCACAGGGTTCCCACTGAAGAGAATATAAACACCGGCTTCCTTGTTGTTGTAGATCAGGTTGCTCCGAATGGAACCCTTCCCGTTGCCAAGAACAACGATCCCGGAACGAAGACCGCCATGAATTCTGTTGCACTGCAGAATGAAAGGGAGAATTCACACAAAGCACGATATACACTCTTCTTTATTAACACCTGGAGCCACGCAGGTGCACCTCTATGAGAGTTATTAACAAAATGGTTTTGGATTGATTACCAGGATGGTGGGGTTAGCTCCTTTTCGGATGTCCAGGCCCGCCTCCCCGTTGGAGTGGATGTTATTTTCTGCGATGAGGCCCCGAGCGGACAGGCGCAGAAACACGCCTGAGGCCCGGCACTCACACACCTCGTTTCTCAGCATCACAATCTGAAGGAGGAGAGAGAGAGAGAGGAAGAAAGAAAAAGAGAGAGCTAAAGTTACACCTCCTGCTACATTGCTATCCATCCGAGCCGCTCCCTTTAACTTGATACTTTTTACTCAAATGGCACTCCGATTATGAGAGTCACTAACCTTGACACGTCGAGTTGCTGAAGGATGAGTTTCGAAGACTGATCAGAAACGAAGGAGTGGCGGTTTTACTCACCGTGGAGTTCTGGATGCAGCGGACGGCGTAGTTCAGCCCGCGGAATATGTTGTCTTCCAGACGAACCTGGCCGTAGTTAGACACGTGGACGCCGCCTTTCCCGTCTCGGAAGAGGCAGCGTCTGAGGATGCAGCCGAGGGCGGACGTCCACAGTAACGCTGCATCGGGGTCCTGCTCCAATTCCTGCAGAAGGGTGAGGGGCTGAGGGGTTGCAGATGGTGGGTCGGGGGAGGACGCGAGCGGCAGGGAGCCATCCGCCCGGGGCCTGAGCAAATGGGACAGGCCGTGGTGGCCGCAGGGGATTTTGTAATCCCACATCAATTCTTTCTCAGCGTTGTCTGCTCCCTCTCCGTGGCGGTTTTCCTCCTCGCCCTCGCTGCGCTCCCCATCGCTCCACCCGTCTTCAATCAGTGTGCCCTGACAACCCGCCTCCCCACCAGTCCTCGTCTTCCAGTCCTCCATGCGTGCGTGCTCCTTGTTGACGATTCCACGCGGGGGGTCCGGCTCGCCCGCGGGGGCGGCATGGGGGCCTTTGGGAGAGCACAAAGAATCCGATGGGAAGGTCTTGGCGAGGGCAGCCAAGTGTTTACAAGCCCAGTTCCTTTCTGACACCGGGGGACCTTCCACGGTGACAGAAGCTGTGTCGCTCCCTGAGAAATCACAGCTGTCCAACAGACTGAGGACGACACCCAGCAAGTGGGCAGAGCTGCCTTGTGAGAAGGAGCAGAAACGAGCCTGGCAGGTGCCGGGGCCACGGATTTGCAGCTGGGCCCCCTCAAAGTTGCAGTTATCGAGCTGAATGTGACCCCAGGATGTCTGCGGGAGAGCGAGAAATAGGAGGATCACAGTCAGACAGATTAAGCCAGGAAGAAAAAAGTATGCAGTTACTTGGATAGGATTTTGGATATAATGGAGTGAAAGAAAAACACAATATCAAATGAATGAGACTTCACCTTGTACACAACGGTGGAGAACCAGGGTGGCATGAACACCAGGTTACACAACCTGGCGGTCGGGCACTGCTGCTCCATACACACTAGAAGGGCCACCTCGCCCAGTTGGCCCAGACCGACGAGCTCCACGGGCACTTTCAGCGTCACTTCGGCCTGCTCTTCGTACACCCCCGGATGGAGAACCACGCGGTCATACGGTCCCACCGCCCCAAGCACCCCTCGTAAGGTCTCAAACTCGCAGCCGGGCCCCACGTGCCAGACCCGGCGGTCTTTTCTCCGGCGGAAGAAGAAGAGGCAGGCGGAGGACTGGAGCTCCGGCCCATTCCGGGTCCAGGTGCGGGCCGACAGGGCGTGCTGCTTCAGCGCCTCCCTCCAGGACGGCGGCTCCAGGTGGGGCTGGCTGGGCCAGTTGGGATGCCGGCACTCGGGGCAACCCAGGCAGAGCTGCCTCCAGCGGGTGTTGTCCAGAGAGAGGATGAGCTCCCGCCAGGCACGGCACACCTGGCAGCAGCGGCCCAGGTCTGGGAGGGGGAGATAGGCCAAGATCACCCTCCACAGCTCCACGGGGAGGCAACCCACCTCCATGGCAGCAGAGGAGCACGTGACGCCAGGGTGGAGTGGGGGGGAAGTGGGGGAGGGAGGAGGTACCTGGAAATGGCATGACAGGCGTGCACACGCACGTGCAGTTAAAGCAACAAGAAAAACAACAACATTCACACAACAGCATATAGATGTGTTCCTTAAGGGCTCCCGTAACCAATGTCAGTGTCGCGACAATAGTGTATTTTATTCCAATGGGGGGGAAACAAACAAACATACAAAACAAACAATGAACAAAAAATAGCGAACATTCGACATAATATAAATAAATAAATGAATATTTTCTTCCAGTTGACTTTACCCAGGGATAACTAGTCTCCACCCCCAGAGCTGCGGCGTTTTACCTCAAAGTTTACAACGACTAAATGATGGTTAGCTAGCGAGGTAATGCTAGGTATGGGGGGGGTGGGGGGGCGGCCATTGGTTAGCTGTAAACATCACGGAGAACGCAGGGCTCACCTCTCAGCAGTTTGCCATAGTTCGAAGAAACGCCACACGTCGTTTGGTCGACGTTTTTTCCGCCGGCTATCTACCCGGCGGCGCCGGTCTCCTCGCAGCCTCCACCGGGGCTCGCAACGCTCCACGGCGCCCGCGGACGTGCCATGGGGGGGAGAAACGGAGCTCGGGGCTCGGGCGACCAGTTTACGGCAGGAGACAAAACGAGTTCTCCATCTTCCGCTTCCAAAAAAAATTGTGGGCGTTGACCTAAGCCCAGCCCTCCACGAACACGCGCGCTCGCGCGCACCTTGGGGTGGATGGGGGTGGATGGGAGGGGAGGGAAGGGAAGGGGGGTCGGTTTTTGTCAGAGGTGGCCACGCAAAGCGTCTGAATAAACCTGGCCCAGTCTCTTTAAAGCCCCGTCGTAGTCTAATATGTCTGCCTCCAAGGCCATTATTCCATTATTCTCAGTATCTTACCCCACCCAGGTTAAATGGCTTGTTTTTCCCCTTTTGCGTCCCCACGCAATACTTTTGCGTTCCCAGCACAGTTGGAATATCTTTCTATTGGAGACAGATCTCAAAATAAAACCATATAAACTTATTCAAAGGGCGTTGGTGCCGCATTGTGTCCACGCTGACGCAAACTAAGTGGATAACCTGCATGATTATAGGCAAGCAAAAGTATTGCATGAGAACACAAAAGAAAAAAAAGCCGTGTTACCTGGGGGCTCTGTTGTATTTTCCATCCATCCATTATCAATATTGCTTATTCCCTGATGGGGTCGCGGGGGGAACTGGAGCCTATCCCAGTGGTCCTGTTGTATTTTGATAGTCAAAATTGGATGAGAATATCTGAAATATGGGGAAAAAAGGAGAAAACCTTCTGAAAACAAATGCATGATTTGTTCTAAATAAAATAAAAACTTCCAGTTTTCACTTTACTAGTTTGACTTTTAGTCAGAATATTTATCAGAACGTATTCAGAATTCTTGATCTACCAGGTGTCCGAATTTGGCTGCTGTCTTGAAAGTTTTAGAGTTTTCTCTGCTTTAACAGACTTAAATGAGCCTCTGTGCTGATGATATAAAAAGGGCTATGGAGAACAGGATTGGTGGAAACACTGCTAGAATCTGGCTGGATTTCAAATGATAATAGTTAACAGCACATTGTATTTGGACTTTTTACAGCAATGAACAGTTCAAAACCAGGGTTCCTTTTAAAAATGCCACAGATGAATCCCACATTTCCTGAGGGAACCTGATAAGGTTGATTTAAGATAATTCCTCTGTATTTCCTGTTAATTTTTCCAAGCAAGGAAGTAATAAATGCTTGCTTAAGAATGATGCCAGGGACGTCCCAGCTTTGATCAAAGTAGTGCTGTACTACCATGCAAACTGATGTTCCAGATAGTGTGGATTTATGTCCAGGAGATGGCGATGTCCCCCTGCAGACACATTGACTGCATGTAATACAACGTCTGTGGTTAAACTCCAGAACGGCTTACTTCACCTTTTCCAGTTTTTCCTTTGAAATGTCCTTTTCAAATGAGTTTTTCATCTATTTTGTCCTCTGTGGAGAGAAATAAAAGAGCGAGAGTGTTGGGGAGTCCAGCTTAAAAATTAGCTCATCTCTCCACCTTGTATACTTGATTTTTCCTGTTCGTGGGTATGTAATTAGGAGCCTTTTAATTTTCCATCCATCCATTATTGTTTCTACCTATTTCCTAATGGGGTCGCGGGGGGGACTGGAGCCTATCCCAGTGGTCAATGGGCGAGAGGTGTGGTACACCCTGGACGGTCCACCAGTCCATCACAGAGACACTCCCAAGGGCAATTTGGACTGTCCAGTCAACCTAATATGCAGGTTTTTGGACTGTGGGAAGAAGCTCCCCACAGACCCAGGACCTTTCAGAAACCCTCTTGCTGTGAGGCATTAGTGCTAACCACCATACCACTGTTCCGTCTGCTTTTTAATTTTTGATTTAGGCAATAAGTGAGATGGACACATGACACAGTGATAGGTGGATGACTGTCATTGAGTTTAGCAAACAAAAGAAAAAATGAAAAGGCTTTTGTTGTGCTTTCTAAAAAAAAGGGTAACAAAGATTTCTTATACACAATTATCATTTTATTGCAAAAAAAAAGTACATATATTTATATATTCTGACATAAGGGCTAATGTAGTCACAGACAGGATTTAAAAAATGCACATTCTCTATTATTGCAAAATACGAAGCAAAGGCGGCGTAAGTAAAAGAAAAGGAAAACCTGGAACTTGCACAGACATTGCCATAAGAATATTTGAATATTCTTCTGTTTCCTGGTAAAAAATACAAAATGCAAACACAATTTTTTTCACTTTATTACAAAAAGTATGAAGACATAGATATATCAACACAGTTGACCATAAATTCATTCCCTTTCACTATGTAGGCTATCTGTGTTTTACATGAACTTTGGTCTGGGCCGCCCTAAACATTCCAGTTGGCATCTGAAATCTTTACTGTCGATGGATTCTTCTTGAAACTTTCTCCAAAGTCGCAATTGGTGCTTTAAGGTGTCTGCCTAGAAAGAAGAAAAGAGGTTGCTCATGTCTTAAGAGGTAGATCAGGTCACTTATAACAGCAAAAGAGAAAATCTGTGCCATTTGCTCACTCTGTGTTCACAATGCAGTAATATTGATCTATGAAGTACTAATTTAATATTCACAACTATATTTGAAATGGAATATCAGTCATTGATCTTGTTTAGTGTTTTAGTTTCTTTCTGCCAACAATGTTATCTTTCATAACCCCGAGAAGCACATGGGCCTCCTACCATTCAGCTGGAACAAATGTAACTAAATACCCAACGCTTGCATGAAGCTTCTAGGATGTCAAGATGACATTTCTTTCAGCCACATGTCCCGGACAAGAACTAATCCGTATTACTTTACTTTTCTGCCCAGCTAGTCACATGAACACAAAGTGAGGCTAGACTCACCCAGACTTTTTCTTTAGCACTTTTTGGATCCACGGAGCTGCAGGATCCAGACAAATCTTCTTCCCATCCTTTTTCAGAGTGGCACTGCAGGACCAAATACACATAATAAGAATAGTGGTATCACTCCTGACATCAGAGAGTTTGTGAAAACTTGCAACATAGCTATCCCTAGACCTATTAAAACGTAGGTATTTTCTTCAAGAATGTTGAAAGTATCTGTGAGTATCCTATCTTTACAACTTGGCTGGAGGACATACATTATCTCAGTGTCTTTGCAGTGAGACGTTGGAGGGTTCACCTCCACCAGTCCTATGAGACGCCCAATACGCCTCTTCTCCTTGGTGATGCACTGACATCGGATCCTTGAACCTTGATCCATCGCACTGTTTCCTGAGATTTTGGGGATTTTGCAGGAAAAGGATATGATTAAGCAGCTAAGCAATCAGTGTCTGTTCTCCAGCAAGTAAGACCTCATGCGTCTGCACATGATGCCGGACGCTCTCATGCTGATAAAGGTTGTAAAGATTTCATTTCCATCTATACATTTGGTAGATACACTTACCTTCATGTATGACCAGGAAAACCAGTAGTGCCACAGCAGTCATGTAAGACATACTTGCTCTTTCAAGGAGGCCAGATCTCAGAGATATAGTAAATCTTAATAGCCCAGTGTTGGTCACAGCACTGAAAACATTTGTTTAAAGCCCGGCCGTTCCCTCTGCAGCTGTAAGCTCTGTTGCAAGTGCGTTCTGGAAACACTTCACTTCTGTTTATATGTCCCTCCTCCACGCATTTAATACACGAGGGGTGTTTTTTTTTTCTCACAGAAGGCTGATGAGGATGAACATGTCACATTAACTTTTAGATTTCCTGAGAAAAAAAGATCAGCAGAGCAATCTAAAGAAACCACCACCAGTTAACTTTTAATCATGCCCCTCAATGACTGGTTTTCATGTCTTTATTTCCCTTTTTTTAAGGTTCTGCTTTTGATTTGGATTCTTCTGCAGCTTGATGTCAGTTCCAAGGATGAAATTGAAGTTATTAAAACATTGCTGCACTCACGGGCACAAAGCAATAACCACTTCTATTAAACTTGCAAAACCACAAGCAAATCTTTTGTATTCTCATCAAAATCTTTTAGAAGTGTGATCTTTAGTAATTTGACGGTGGTTGGTTATGACAAGTAAGCAAACGTGTCCTGACACGACACCCAACGTCAGAGAGAAATAATCACACAGATGTGGAATGTAGGCTTCAGGTCCACCCACCAGGCAGACAGACAACCCAACTAAAACTTTTGAATATTTGAGGGTAAAAGCAAACAGTTATCAATCACAGTTCTCTTCTTCAGTCGGCACTTGGAAGTAGGAAAACTGTCTCTCATTTCCTGGAATTCCCGGGGGTTCTTTGATTTCTGGAAGCTCTGCGCTCCTTGTGTTGTAAATCATTCACTCGAGTACTTCAGCTCCACCGAAACCCAACCGGGAATAAACAGTGTGGCAAATGCATGGATTGGCTTCAGTTCTGTACTCCTAAAGTCACAGAAGAAGGAAGCCAGTTTGAAAAAAAAAACCCAAAACATAACAGAAAAAGCAAAAACCAGTGTGTCGAGTTCATGATTCAGTCGCGGCTTTTCCCAGCACTTATCATACCTATTATGTGGGGCTTTTGTGCTTAGTATCAGTGTGCAGAGTTTTGTGTACTCAAAGATCTTTGAAAGCAAACTTGACGAAACGATAAAGAAAGAGGTAATTGTGTGGATTAGGCAGCCTCTGTGAACAACATTTAGGTATGTGTCATGAGCTTTAGAATAAACTGCAATGTAACCTTTCTTTACTGTGAAATAGGAAAACTGTGCCGTGTTAAAGCAGGCGTTATTGATGGCACTGATATGTTAGTTGTGTTATGTGTGTGTTATATTACTGTGTTTTACCTCGAGAATTCATGCACGTTTACCAATGAACTTACAAGCACTATACTAAATTATGTTGTAATTGAATAATTTGATTCAGAGATACATATTCTAAAGTATTTAATTAATAAAGTAAAGTGAAGTCCATTTGAATAGCACCATATCCTAACAAATTCAAACTTTTGGCACTTGAGAGTTAATTTCAAAACTATTATAATCCAAGTTATTGTGAAAACGATCCAATCAATTTTAATTCATAAAATTTTTAATTCAATTTATCTATAGAAAACTATTAAAAACTAAATATCTTACCTAAGGAATCTGACAGAAACCACTGTGTGTAAAAACTTTACATTCTGATGTTACAAGTTTAAAAACTGTCATAAAACATATTCTCAAAACCTTGTAGCTTCAGCATGATAAGCATGAGACCATATAATTTCCTCTTGATTCCAGAAATGAACTCTAACTCTAACACTCAAAGAGCACTTTTTGTTTGGAGATTAGTCTCAAATTTGTATTAATTTTATACACTTCAGATTTCTACCCCTTTAGTTATAAAATAAAGTAAGAATGGAATCATCCAGCCTCACCATCGTAATGTTAAGATTTCCTCTTCAATCTCAAATTAATTGTTTCTTGGAAGACTGAATTTGAAACTACTTTATTTTTGGTTTTCTTGCTTTCTTATCAACAAGAAACCATAATGAGCTGTTTGATGTTCAGTTAATCTGGTAAAGAAAATAACTTGTACTACTCCAGCAACATATCTTTATGAGCAAAAAAGCTGACATCTCGCTGGCTTTCTTTGTTTTGTTTTTTACTCCATTGTCAGAGGAAAGAAATGACAGGTTTTGCTGCTATATGGTGCATCACCTACCGAGCAGCAGGTAGCCCAGTTGAGAAATAAATTGGGTAAGCTCTGGTTAAAGAGACGGCTCAATGCATCAGTATTTCTTAATACCTATTCACCGTAGAGAAACTGTCCAACTGTAACAAATCAAAAGCTCTCTTTTGCAGGGAAGCTGAACAAAAAATCTCCACATTAATTACGAAATTCTTAAAGAAAACCTTTATCCTTACTTTTTATAACAATATTACTATAAAAAAAGGGCAAGCCAAACCTTTTCTTTACATGATCAACAGGCAAGAAAATCAGTAACTCAGTAGAGTTCCATGCAGCAACAGATTGTTCAGATTGTCAATATTTGGTCTATTAGTGAGACTCTAAATTCATGAGCATGCTGTTTAGACACATACCAGGACTTTCAAAACAGCTCTCTTGAAACTCCAGAAAAAAACATGCTAAAAATGATCACAACTCCACTCATGTCAGGGAAATTTCCCAGATGTCTGACAACTGCAATTCTGAAGAAGAGAGCCTTAGATCATTCAGAATTAAACAATTATTGGCCAATCTCTAATGTTCTCTTTCAATGGAACAGCTTCTTAGATCTGCTTTAGGTAGATTACGGCCTCACTTTGGCCCAAATCATAGCACTGAGACAACACTGATCAAAGTCTTAAATGGTAATTATCTGAACACTGAAGTAGCTCTAACATCTGTTCTTGTACTGCTGCTCAGTGCAGCTATTGATGATTTTAGACCACACAAACTTTCTTGATAGACTGCAAAACCGGGTGGGATTATCAGGTAAAGTTCCCAAGTCAAGCTGGTTGAGATCATGTCTTGAAGGCAGGAGCCTTGTTGTTTCCATTGGTAAAATGGAGTAAAAACTTATTCCACTGACACGTGGAGTCCCTCAAGGTTCAATTCTTGGGACACCTTTTATTCCACCTCAACATGTTTCCCCTGGGCCAGGTCATTTGTAACAGCAATGTTATTTATCACAGCTGTGCCGATTACACTCAGATCTACCTCCTTCAGCAAATGACCGGTCCATTAGACTCCCTCTGTCTGCGCTTGGCTTCCTCCAATGAAATCAAGATAAGACAGAAATAATTATATTCGGTAAAAAAAGAGACAGGAGGGAGTTGCCATCCATCTTGAATCCAGGGGGCTCATGACAATGTTCTAGGTTAAGAGTTTAAAATTTTGATAGAGTCATAATATGAACTCTATCAGCTATCTCAAAGCTGTAACTAAGACAGCTTTTTATCCCCTAAAACACATCTCAAGAGTAATAGATTTCACATCCAGAGCTGAGTAAGAGAAGCTCATTCATGGCTTCACCTCTAGAAGACTTCACTATTGTAATGCTCTTTTATCTGGTCATGTAAAAAATTCCACTGGACAGCTTCAACTAATCCAGAATGTTGCTGTGTGAGTCAATACCAGAAAAAAGTGCAAATTACTCCTGCTCTCCTAAACCAAGCAGAACTCTGACCTCTTAAGGAAGCAGTCAAATAGTATAAACTTGAATTAGGAGCAAACAGGGCGAGAATGCATTTAGCTGCAATGCCGTTGATGGATGGAATAAACTTTTGATGTCAAATGTGCCCCAACTCTGGTGACATTAAGGTTAAACTGAAAACAGCTTTAGTCACATTTTCTGGCTCTGTTTTTACTTTGCAATCACCTCCCCCCACCTGTGCCCGTTTAACGCCTAACTTGCAACATAAATGTGCCAAATAAAGTGATTAACACTAACTGTCAGTGCCTGAGCAGGAAATGAGGAGGTTTTAGTCATTGAGAATGAAATTGGTAATTACTAACCAGCAATGGAAGCTCTCAGGCTAGGTATTAAGGTGTGTGGAGCATCACGGTTGCAGAAATGTGTCCCCTTTGAAAAGTTGAGGCCATTTGATAGTTTCATCTCTTTATAGTCATTCAATTCTACCCACAAATACAGAAGTGATGCAGAAGTATTGTTGTCTGTTTACCACATTGAAGGGAACTTGGTTGATAGTAGCACAAAAAAGACAAATGTTAGATTTATACAAGTCACTGGATGGATTACATATGATCCGTTGGCCTTTGATTAATGCTTCCATCATGTTTGGGGATTTTTATTCTCTGCAATAATGAGGGTTGTATCAGGGGTCAAGGATTTTTTGGGAAATATCCAAAAATTTCACTTCTGCTGTGATTGCTGTGCCTGTTTCCCTTTTAAAAAATGTGTGTGTGTGTTTGTGTGTGTGTGTGTGTGTGTGTGTGTGTGTGTGTGTGCGCGCGTGATAAATGTGGCTAAATGAAATAAAATCTCGAATTAAGTTATCTTAATTAAAGGCTTTACAATTTGCTTCAGCTATGAACGAGACAGACCATAAAGAGAATATTTTAAAATAATCTGCAAAATTTTCAGTTCTCACACTCATAGAATTATTTTCAGAACTCTGTCTTCTGGGACCTAAATTGTTTTGGGTAACATGCATCTGCACTTATCTAAACAATGCAGCAGAGAAAATTTAGAGGAAGAACTTTTCCAGTAGAGGTCATCACATGCTCTTTTTGAAACTATATGTGTTTTTTGCTTTTTCTTTTCTTCTATTTCCCTAACATGGAACCACATTTGACCAAATAAGGACATGCATGACCGGTTCATGGTGGCTTCCATTCAATCTCAGATTAATCTAGAAACTTTCCTTTAAATAACAAATAAACAGAGATACAACTGAAATAATTGAACAGAATCAACTGTTGAATACTTTTTCTCTGTCTGAAAACCCTCAGTCTTTGCATGTAAAGCATTGCGACAACAATTAATAAATGAATGTGTCAAAGCTGCAGAATTTCCCCCACTGTTTCTCAACACTTCCCGCTGTATTGTGAGAGCAGCTTCTGTGACGTGATTGCAGATATGTCTGAGCCGACAGAGATTGCGTCAGGTCTTCAGTCCCATGAACATTTTTGGCACGCGGCTTCAGACCTGTCACACACATGAGGGCGCAATTTAAACCTCTTGACGAGTCTGTCTGTCACCTTGCAGTAACATGTTCGCCGGGTTGTTCAGAGGCCATTGGTTACAGCTTATAACAACTTATAACTGTACAACTTATAACTTACAGCTTATAACTTGATAAGTCGTGTGCATGTCATAAATGTGCACCCAGTTCATTTTTGCACTAAATGGACTTTGAAGCCGTGACAAAACTGTAGGGTTTACATTCCATGTCCACTTATTCACCAATTGTATCTACTTGTTGTTTTCCTTACACACGGTGAATCAGTGATCTGTTGATCAATCTAAATTGTTAGCATGTTATGAGCCCTCACTTGAGGTTTTGTCCACAGGGACATGGCACAATAACAAAATATAGACTCTATGTCTAGCAAGCATTCTTGTTCCATCCATCAGTATATTACCAATACTTTAGTCACTGAGATTTTCCTCGTGTCACCTGGATCTCTGATAAATCAGGGACATATGAGAAGCGATTGCGGCAGAACTCGTGCATGGTAAATTCCCAGTCAGCAGTGACAGTCCAGTCTTGCGCAACCAAGGGAAATGAGTCATTCCCTGGAGCTGGTTATAAAAGTGAATTCCCTCAGCGCTAAATTCAAACAAACCAAAGAGCAAGCAGCAGCACCTGGAAGAGCTGAGGAGAAAAGGAACTGAAAAGAAAAAATAGACGAGGATAAAGAACTGATTCTGTCTTTGGCTTTCTAAGGAAAAGTTTTACCAGGCAAAATGATGAGCAGCAAAGTAATTGTCGCCACCGTTGTGGTGTTCTTGGCCTGCCTGGCCATAAGTGAAGGTAAGACTCATTTATCTTAAAATGTAACTGATGCTTTTTCTCTGAGTTGTGCTTTCCTCAGTGCACAGAGAGGTAATGGCATACACCCTTGCACTTTGTGACCGTGTGTTTCCCGTGCTTGTGCAGGAATGAGTCTGAGGAGCTTGGGAGTGGAGCTGCACTGCCGCTGCATCCAGACGGAGAGCAGACCCATCGGCCGCCACATCGAGAAGCTGGAGCTGATTCCCGCCACCTCCCACTGCGAGGACACCGAGATCATGTGAGAAGCAAAGCATTCTACGGTTACACCTCGTGATTTTGCCAGGATCACAGCCCGGCTTTGGGACGAGGTCTCACTCAAAACTTATACCTCTCCCTGTTGCTTTGTGTTGCAGTGCCACTCTGAAAAAGACCCATCAAAAGGTTTGCCTGGACCCAGAGGCCCCCTGGGTGAAGAAAGTGATTCAGAGAATCATGTCACAGTAAGTTACACCTTATCAAGCACGTCTCACACATCATCTGTAAACATGCGTGGCTGCTCTGATATTTTGACTTGATCATAAAAATAATAACCAATATTTTCTCCTTTTTCTGTTTTCTGTAGGAAAAAGCGTTGAAGACATGCACCAGATGCTTTTTCATTTGAACCAAAGAGTATTTATTTATCTAAAGAATTCACTTTACTGCCTCAAAATGATTATACTGTTGAAGGCAACACCAGATTTTCTTTAATCAAGTTGTTTGTATCAAACAGCCATTTTATATCCATGTTACCTCCTGTTTGTTTGCTGTACACATCTGGTGGAGCCAGTATCTTATTTTGGCTATTCTTGAAGTCTGTGAAACTGAACTACTTCTATCCTCAGCATTAATATAATGTATTTATTTATCTATGTATTTATTGTGCCTGGTATACACAAATAAAAATATTGATTTGCAAACTGAAACAGAAATTCTTTCTTTTTTCAATGAAAAAAAAAGATTGTTATAATTTGAGCTAAGAATCTAAACAGACATCTTTTTTTTTTTAAATATCGATAGGAAGTGGTTAAAGATGACAAGTCCAGTGGAAAATAAGAGTGAACGCAACATTGCAACACAGCTTGGGGTACATTATGGGGGAAATTTAGCAAAACGATTTTAGTCTTAATCATCACAGCTCAAGTTATTCTTTTATCATTATCTAAATAAAAGACTTTATACCATGACATATGAAGGACTCAGCAAGTTCCCATCTGGTTATATGTTTTATTCAAACTCAGTCCCTGGAGTTTCAACTCAATACATATTGCATGCAGAAAAGTCTGCTATGCTGATGTAGCTTTACAAAACTTTACATCTTTAGAATGTTGAGCAGTTCATTCATTCAACACACACAGAAAGAGCAGAGCAAAACTCATGAGCGCCTCCTCTTTTGCTACATTGACAGGAAAATGGGGGCCGGGATTGATTCAAATAAGCACATGCAGGAATGGCTAAATGAGACTTCATGCGGTTTGAATGTGCTTTAATGTTCTGTTTTTTTAATGATCGCCTTCGTCAGGCTTAATCCTCTTCGACAAATGATCTTGTCATGTCTTTAGCCTTAAGGACCCAAAAACCCTGACTCAACCATCACAAGGTCACTGAAATATTTTCATTTTCAGATTTAGTTTTTGACAACTATAAATTATCTCTTTCCTTTGGCATCATGCCAGTCAATGCAGTAATAACATGATGTCATGGGGGATGTTTTTGGCTCTTAACAATATTTATGGCTATCTTCTTCTGGCCTGTTGCATCAAACAGTCCAAGAACTGCTCCTGTTGGAATATCTCTTTCCTTCGCTCGGACCTCTCCGGGCAGACTGTGCATTGTGAGAATTCCCCTAAAGCCTTTGTGCTCTCTATATTCCCCATAACTTAACACTGACTCTCATATGTACGCATACAGATCTTGTTTTACCCGTCATCATCACCACTGTAATAATTCCGCCAGGCTAAAATTGCTCTCGTTTTCAGGTTTGGTTCGACTCGGCGTACGTGGATGTTTCTTATTCATACAACGTTATCCATTATGACAATAAAGCTAAACTTCCTGGGAATATTAAGTAAGGCCAAAAGTTCAGTGCTTTCTGTATCTATTCGGTGAATGTAAAATCTTTCTCTGTTCAAAACTTGAAGGAGCCTTGAGGATAAAAAAACTCTCAAACTCTTAGGATTACCATGACTTGAGAATCTACATTTGAATATGACAAAGTATCAAAAGATTTGCTTTGAGACTAATGTGACTCTTAAGTTAAAGTTTGAATAAATATGTTTTTGTATTTTCTCAGCTTCTATCTATCTATCTATCTATCTATCTATCTATCTATCTATCTATCTATCTATCTATCTATCTATCTATCTATCTATCTATCTATCTATCTATCTATCTATACGCACGCATATATTTCATTGGTATGAGTTGGTTGTACAGTCGCGCGTGTGTTTTCCTGTTTTTGTGGCACCCGCACTGCAAAAGTCATGCGTCCTCATATGTTCTGTTTTTGTCATGTTGCTCGTTGCCATTGGCCTGCCCGAGGATGCAGGGAAAGGGGCGGGACCGTGCGCGCGGTTGGGGGGGGGGTAGGTGCGGTATAGTGCGGCGCGCAGAAAGATACCACAGCGGCTGGACGGAAACGCGCCGGAGACACCCGCGATGCACACAAAATGCTGCGTCCACGAGCTGTGACAAGCCGCTGGATGTGAAGAGAGAGAAGGAGAGAAGGGAAAAAAAACAAAACAAACAAACAAACGCTCTCGCGTTCAGACCCAGGCAGCTCGCGCAGGCTGTGCTCTTTGCCGCAGAAATAATTCCAGCAGAGCTCTCCGCTGATGCGCCTTAGCCGTGCATGAGTCCCCCCCGTTTGGCGTGCAGGTTCAGTGCTAAAAACCGGGCGGTGTTGACGACCGACTGAAGGGGGGATAGAGCTCGCGAGTGCACCTCATCCGCTTCTCCACACAGCTCCCTGGCACCTGCTTGAGGATGGCGTTAACCATCTGCACGCGATTTACCGACGAATATCAGCTGTTCGAGGAGCTGGGGAAGTAAGGAAGCATGTTCATTTTTTTTTTCATTATCTACACATCATCTGGCATCATCCCCCTGTGATTTCTCCGCGTGTTATGTAAGAGGCCGCTTCGGTTTTAGGGACGCGACTCCCGAGCGTCTGTATTTTTTGTATTATTTTTTTGTGGGGGTGAGCGTGCGTGTGCGCGCGCCGCAGAGATGCAGAAGGGGGCAAATATTGCGCTGTCGTGTGAATCTCGTAGGCCCGTGCAAAAGGATTTGTGTTCATTTTAATCCTACATGCGAGCCATTGCTTGCGTTTTGTGCTTACGAAAGAAGATGTCGTCATTTTCCTCCATCGGCTGGTGCAGATGGGGTACAGTTGCGTTGCCCCAGGTTGGGCAACGAGCCCCTGTTTTAAAAAACCTCAACCGGGATATGGGTTATTAGGCATCGGTTTGAGTGTGTGCACGGTTTTTTTCTTGTTTTTGCAAACCCATCCCTTCCTTTTCCCTCTCTATTACCCCCCGCCCCCCCTCCCTTGAAGCCATCCTCCCGTGTGACAGAAATGCAAACTCTGTTGTGCGCCTGCACACTGTACTGTAGACGATAATGACACATTCCCTAGTCATCCGCCGACCTGCGGTCAATTATTAGACCCCGGCAGGGCATTCCTCACCCGTCTCTGAGAGCTGTCGAGAAGCATCTGCATACCCACACGCGTGTGTGTAAACAAGGCTTTAATTCGGGCTCATCTGCAGGCCTGTGTATATTTTTTGCCGTCTTCCCAGTCCCGTGTGGTCAGTGTACACCCCCCACCCACCCCCTCTTCCCCCAGATGTCTGCAGCCACAGCAGCGTTAATCTACTGAAAAGGGAAAGATCTAGCCTAGATTATTGTAGTATCTCTGATCTTCTGTAAACCACCAGATGGAAATAATGTCTTCTTCCCAATCCTTTTCATTTACATCCCGACACAGCTCTAATCTTACCTCATCAATCATTAATAATGCGTTCAAGTTTATTTTACTGAACCTTTTAACTCACCTGATTCTTGTCAAGATGCAGCACTATTTTCTTTGGCAGTCATGAAATGGAGACAGCCATGTTTATTTTTTCTTTTTGAAATGCATTTTTGTCTAATGAAAACATAACCCCTCAGGGCATCACTCCGTGACTTTATTTCATCCGTTGAAAGTAAACATATAATTTGTAGATAAATCAATTAGAATTTTCACAAATGAATTTATTGTTGCATTGATTTGTGTATTTTACTTTAAGGTTATAGGTAAAGTAACCTGGGGAAAAAAATAGAAGCAAGAAAAAGAGGGAGAAAAAAAGCACGCATATGGTTACTGTTCTAACAGTTTTTCACCTTTTGCTCATAATTTACTTCCAAGTCAACTGAAATGCATTTTCTGTCCTGCTGGACTCCACAAACATATGCCAATCACTCTAGCACACTACACTGGACTGTCAGTTAAAATTCTTATGTAACATGTTATGCTATTATTTTTCTTTCCTTTAACAAATCCTCCATATATTAGGGAAAGGCTTTAGTGGCAAGCTGCTCACTCCAGAGGATGTTAGATAACATACTCATCGTACACATCGCTGTGTACTCAGCAGCTCGTCATTACATTGACTCAAAGCAAGCATAATCTATTTCTCAGACTGCCATGCCCATTAAATCAGATAATGTAAAGTAAAGTAACCCCCGCTCTTGTCCATTACAAGTAAAATAAGTGTAAGGACAGGGTCGATCCGAGGGTGATTATTCACAGTTTCGATCTTCTCTTGAGTTGGCGTGAAAGGTCTTAAAGCTAAAGCTGCCCGCGTGGCTTCAGAACCGAGCAGCTTTCAGGCAGGTGGACAAGTCCAACGGCTGCATTTAGAGATGAGAGATGCAGCACCCGTTTCTTTTCCTCCTTCAAATATAGCTGACCCAGTTTTTTGATCTTCATACACGTCCCTGACACACCACAGCAGCACATGGCTTCAACAGTCGTGGGCCGGTTGGCACGTTTGCGCCTGCTAATGGCCATATCGCCGATACAGAGTGGGACTTTGTGAGCAACCACCTGAGTTCCACCAGATATGTACTTCAGAAACACTTATTCGTAAAAAAAGTTTGTGAATTTTGCAATAGAAACGCTCGTATAGACTAAATATGGGCATATATCATTCAATTCTGACAATATAATTAAATTGCGCAACAGCACTATACAATAGTGATGACATTAAAGATATCTTATATCCAAATAACTGTTGTTTCCATATCTTGAAGTTTCTCCAGCCATCACAATAAGTTTGAAAAATCTAATACAAATTAGAAATCCAATAAAAAAAATGTAAACGTTTTTTTAAGTCTGAATCATGTCCCTTATTTTAACATGAATGTAAGGCAGGATTTTCACATTAAACTCGTCTTTTCTGAGCCTCCATTTAAACTCTTCTGAGTAACCTCTGCTGGGATACATCGGTAAGGTTTTTGTGTGTGCATTTGTCATTTTCAGGGGCGCCTTCTCCGTGGTCAGGAGGTGTGTGAAGATCTCCTCTGGACAGGAGTATGCTGCCAAAATCATCAACACCAAGAAGCTTTCTGCTAGAGGTAGGGCACACACATAAACACATGCGGAGACACCAACTGCGCATGAGCAGAAACACATTCCGCGAGTGTCACCGAGCTATATGGTGATGAGCTCTGAACACTGCTGCCCCTGAAACAGGCTGGAGGCACGGAGAGAGAGCGTGTGTGCTTAGTTGGAAATGTCCATGTGGCTGTGAATAAGAGGACAGATAAAGGGAGGAAGTCTCATGTGAATTTTGGATGATTAAGTTTTCTGTGTGGTCAAGGGAAAACTTTGAATGCATCAAGTAACTCGTCCTGTATTTCCTCTCCAGTGCTTTTGTAGCGGGGGTTTCTCAATCCCTTTTTTTAAATTTTTGCATCACTCAGGTTTTCGTCCTTACGTTTTAGTCTAAATGGTCGTAACGCACAACCTTAAGTGTGTGCATGTTTTCCGTATTGATTCAGGGCTCTGGCTGGTCTTATCGTCCCAGGGGCAGATCTCTTGCGAAGCCGACCCAGTTCTTTCACATCCGTCACTGTAATTGTAGCCGCTGGCCTGGTTGCCTTAGGCTTGGGACACGCACACATGCAAACACACACACACACGCATGCACAATCTCATAAATACACACTCAGAAGCGTGCGCATACAAGCACAGCCATGACCCAACCTATTTGTGAATGCTAACCAATGGTGTCATGCCTCTAAGGTTTCTCCTTTTCTTTAGCCCATGTGTAGCTTTGTCGCTACGTGTTTGTTTGTCAAAACTAGCGACTGACATGAGAACCCACAAGCAAATAAAAGTGGGTATATGTATCACCGCAGAAAGGTGTATATGCCATAAGGAAAATATTCCACACCACGAATGTCTGTTTGACATGTTTATTCACCGAAGAGCCTCACTGGAAAAACAAAACAAAAACCCAGTTATATATAGTGTAGTTTCTGAATGTTGAATTAAACTGAATAATACAGGATTTTCGATTTTGATATATTTTTTATTTCATCTTCAACATATCTGACTTAATAGGAGATCTGATTATACTTTGGTTTAGCCATTTAGGTCATTTAGTCATTTAGTATAGTTATACAATTGTATAATAAGCATTCCAGCCTCACTAGCGATCTATTTTATAGTTATATCCAAATGTTTGCATTCAGATAATGTGAATAAGTAAAATATTGAAGCGAAATGAATTAACTAGAGTATATATTTTTACTCAAATTAGATTTGAGGTTGTTTCATCTCGAAAAGATTGAAAAAATTTGGCCACATACTAAGTGACTTATAGTTGTGTACCCATAAAGGCTATCATACCCCAGTTATTCCCAAAGTTTGAAGTATTTCAAGAACATAAGACGTCCTGTTTCAGCCTTTATAGATGTCCACCGCAGTATTGTTTTTTTTCCTTTAAACCCAAAGGATGTTGTCAGCATAGCACAAAGGATTTTGTTTACACATGAATAATTAGTTTAGATTTTAACAAGGTGTAAATGTCCCAAACAACCTCTTCACTCAGGTAATTTCTCAAAGGACAAGTATTAGATACACACACACCCTTTTATAAAAGCAATTCCTATATTGACACACTGTTTGCACAAACAGTGGGATCAGGATAAAAATAGCTCAGCAGCTCATGGTCATTTAAACTATGCATTTATGCGAAAAGCGTGGCTAACATAATTACAGGTATGAAGCAAATCCTGCCATTTTAATGCCACAGTTCTCAGTCAAATGCTTGTCTTTATTTGTTGCCACGTGTTTCGATATTTATATCCACTGTAGCGTTTCTGACAAGTACCCATGAAAAATATTTTCGTGGATTTCTTGCATGCTGTAAATCTGCTTATATAACCCTTCTCACTACTTCCTTCCCTCTTTCCGTTGCATAGCAACTAGTGTTTCCTTTGCTATTAATGAAAGGGTGATTCTTTTTAGGGGTTGAGTTAAGTAGACCGCAGTAGACATCTGTGAGAGTGTTCCCAATTTGGAGAATCATGGTGAAATTCTGATGGCGGAAGAAAGCTGAAAGCTCCTCAAAAGAGACACGGAAGAAGTTTGAATCGTTTTCCTGTCTGAGACAACTATATATAGGCTCAGAAAAATTAGCAGTTTAAGCAAACCCTACGTTGGATTATATTTGAGGGGCATACACTCTTGCTGCACGTCCTTTTTCTGTAAATACCATTGTATGTCTGATCTCATAACAGCAGCACTGCAGCCGTCATAGATGTCTTAGGTAGGGGTAAAAAAAGGCTGCAGTCAAGGTGCCCTTGTCAGATGGGAACAAAATCTTTTGACATTTGCAGTAAGGTATCCAAATATCAGGGTAGGCTTGACTCGTCGAATTGTGCCAAAATGCTTCAAACGATGGCAAGTTTCGGGAGGCATGTGGTGCCACGTATCATAAAGCTGGGTTTCTATTTGGCATGCATATTTTTATACATCTTGTGCAGGGCTGGATCTCTGCAGATGTGATCTGAGCTTCTTTGCTAAAATGTGTTTGGTGGGAATTGTATTGTGCTGTTATGCACACATTAAGTCTTTACATATAGATTAATTTTGTTGATGGTATTTTGTGTTTAACCCTATATGTCCACATGTATCGTATTTGATACATACGGTTTCTGAAATGTTTTGCATCTGAGACTTTTTGCGTCATTTAATGGTATAAACTTTGCTCAAAACCCTGTTTACACGATCAGATATACTTGACAACAGTGGGCAGAAGACTACAGGACAATAATGTGCACAATATTCCAAAAATGATTTCTGTGTTTCTTTTTCATATTTTGTTTAAAGGCAAAATAAATACTCCTACTACTACTAAATCTCTATTTCTTTCTTGCTAGATCAGGCTTTAAAGGGTTAATCTTGAGTGCAGCGTATTAAGTGTTTTAAGAAGCTACCACTGCCTCTCGCTTTGAACTATTTTATCATTTATTTCACTCCAGCAACTCTTCACCTCTTGGCAACCTCTTTGTTCTCTCTTCTTTTGCATTTAATTTTCCTCCTCTTTTATATCGGTACTATTTTTTTTGTATGTGTGGTTATTTTAAAATAACCGTAACAGTTTTGCACCAGGACCCTAGACCCATCCCCTTCCTCCAAATGTTCTCCACTAATACCATCCATATATTGCTGCCTTCATCCCTGCGTTCTTTGGATTATGGTTTTCTTTGCTCCCTTGATCTTTTTTCTCTTTCCTGCTTCCCTCTCTCCTGTCTCAACAGCCCCTTTGCTCGTCCTCTCTTTCTGTCTCTTGTCTGCCCCTGTTGACTCTCCCGCTTTCCCATTGCGGCGCTGGTAACAGACACCTCTGCAGATGGATCGGTTCTTTTCCATTTGCGTGGCTAGATTCTCCCAAAAAATCTCTGTAAAGAATACTGCCACGTTTAAGTGTGTGGGTAAAACACACAAACACGCACAGGCGCATGCTCTCTCGATGCGGGTGCATTTCAAGGTTTACATACCGGACATGCTGGCCTGTCAGATATGGTCTTAGCCTCTTTCTGCGATAAGCTCTAGAATTGCAACTCTGATTCCCTTCTCTCTGCCAGGATCATGACCTCCCCCCACCCAATTCCCCCCCCCCGCCTGCCATGTGTTTGCGTATGCGTGTGCATGCGCACGTGTGGGTATATATAATTGAAAAGGGTTTAGGATGGGATTGGTGGCAGGAATGCAGGCAGATCAAAGCACAGCGCTTGCGTTGGATGTTTTCTGGTTATGCAGGCACGCACGTATGGTGGGCCCGGAGGAGCCGTCACAGTCCCGCAATCTACAATCCTGATTATGCAGCATTTCATTAAGAGCAGCAGATGAGTCAGTGAATGAAAGGAGGCAGAGGGGATAGAGATGGGAAGAAAAAAGGGTAGGGCGCAGACAGAAAGGGACAGATAATCAGAGAGTCGGAGAGATGATGATGATGATGGCAAGTCGGTGGTTAAGAGGTTTTGTTTGTGCGTTCCGACTAGTCCTCACAGCAGTTGTCCTCTCCCGTCATGCATGTCAGTGTCCTGTCACTGCCGCTCTGTCTCCGCTCTCTTGTCACTTTGGATTTGCTTGTGTGTTGTGTGCTGTGTGTGGCTGCGCATTTGCTTGTGTGTATGCCTGAAAATCCCTTATCTGTTTGAGTTTCGTTGCATAGGTGTCTTGAATTTTTTAAAACTGAAATTTCCTGTCTGGCTCACTCCGCACATATTGACTGTCACTGAAAGTGACATAGGGAAGACACGAGGATTGCATTTGATTTAAAAAAATATTTGTTTTTGTTGCTCCATTCGAGGATTCCATATCGTGTTCGATGTCTTCAGACTTTTGTTCCCGATTAAACCTAAAGCCTTCATTTAAGACCCTGTTACTGATCTTCCATCATAATGTTTCATCATGTAGGGGCATCATTTGTAGAGTTGATTTACAGCATTTTCAGACCTGTTTTCTTATTTGAATGTGGTCGTTTTTCTTTGGTTTTTTCCCCATTACACCAGATAAAGATTAGTGTTCTCTCCTGCTATCCCCTCCATCTCTCTTATCATTTCCATGGCCGTGTTCCTCAGGTATCAGTTTTACTCAGTATCACCTCACTTTGAAGGGAGTTGAAGGAGGAGTGGAAAGAGAGGGGTGGCTGGGGAGGTATGATTGTGGGAGAGGCAAAGATATTGAAATGGAGAAACAGGAGGGAAGGAAAGGAAGGAGGGATCAGTGACATGAAGCGCGGGGGGGGGGTCACATGACTCATTGGGTACTTGAAGGCTAAAAATAAATGGCGTTCGGGCTGTCACGCTGTGTCTCGATCTCACACACACCGGCACACATGTGCACGTACACAGTGTCGAAGATATTCCATCTTTTCAAAGGAGCAAGGTTTTCGGTTTCATTCGATGCTTTCAGGGCCTACAGATCATTATCACAGTGGAAATAGGGAAGTGAACCCCAACAGATTCTATTCAAGTGTTATCTTTGACATTTAGCTATTATAACACACAGGTATTAAATGAAATTGGGCAAATTACGTGTTTCTTTTTTAACATTACTA